CAAATGTTCACATATTTTATTGTGTTTTATAGGTTTTTGTGCATGTAAATGGTCTGCAAAGGCTAAAATCCCAAAGTTCCCTCCAGAGGGAGTTTCTCTCCCACACACTCCCCCCCCCTGCCTGAAACACCTCAATTGGACTCCTTTGTTTACTTCTGCAGCATAGTGATCTTATTACGTAACACTCACGCTTCTATTGGCTAGCGCTCCAACACATTGTAGTTGATAGGCTGATGGGCTAAGGGGCGGGACATCTCTAAGCGCTTGACCAATCACAACAGAGCCGGCCAGCTAACCAATCAGAGCAGACTGGGCTCTGGTTTCAGACAGAGGGTGAAAAGAGGTGCTGCAGCACAGGCAGTATGAGAAAAATAAAGAGCTTTTTGAACATTAAAGCATGGAAACATGTCACAGTAGAGGCACTACATACAATTATGAACCAGAAGATGAACATTATATGGCCCCTTTAATTCTGCTGAGATTATGTATTTTCTTCATCAGGATGTCTTTACATTGATTTCATAGAGAAGAATGAAAATGTGTGTTTGTGGGTTATTTTATCATAATTATACTTTAATGACGCTATTAGTAAAGTTAAAAAACAACACAGCATTGCTGTTGCTGTATTCCTTTACTGCTTTTTTAATTAACTGCATGCCCATATAAGAAATACAGCAGTGACTCTCCTTGCAAGGCTTGCTTTTGTTTGCATGCAATTATCCCCATATAGATATTTAAAGCTTAATTAACTGTTTACTGTAATCAGCTTAAATGGCTGTGGTCATGAATGTCAGCTAAATGTGTGAAACGTACTTGTAAATTATTCTACCCAAGGTGTTATTAACAAGTAGTGTTGACTTAAGCTAGTTGTAGCCTGTGAAAAGTGTGTGTGTGTGTGTGTGTGTGTGTGTGTGTGTGTGTGTGTGTGTGTGTGTGTGTGTGTGTGTGTTTGCATGTGCCAGTAGACAGTTTGTCCCCCACCTAGTAATCTTCCAGCTGCTTGTCTGGCTCGTACCTGCTGCTATTATTGTGCCTGCCAAACACAATGGGGGGGGGACTGAAAGTCTTCAATCCCTTTAACCTTTTGACCACTGACTGCTGACTGATTGAATGAATGAATGAATGATTCACTCAATGTGGTTAGTGTTATAGTGCAGAAGTGTGTATGTAAATGTCTCAATTTCACCTTCAAGGGAAAGACCTGTTAAAGGGGCCCTATTATAATTAGTTTTTTCTTTCCATTCCTGTTGTGTGTTCTATAGGTGATATATAGGTATCAGTGACGTGCGGTGAGGTTCATGGCTGGTGAGGCACTGACTCTTTCAGAGTCAGATTTACAAATATTATAGCCTATGTTGACCTTAATCGAAATATTCTGTTATTTTCAAAAGCTTTTTTAGTCTGATGCTATGATTAATTTTAAACAGACCGATCAACAAAAGGATACCCAAAATCTAAATATTGGATTGTTCTTTCTAAGTAAGATCCCATTTTCATTACAAATGTGGTCTTACCTTGACTTGAAGATGAATATAAGTCCATGCTATCCTTCTGGACAACAATCTCTATTACTGTTTTGTAAAAGTCCTCCTTATCTTCCTGTAGTTTCAAAAGTCTAGTTTGTTGTTTGCGGTAGAATAACAGTAGCAACAAAAACCTGTGGGCTCACGTGCGCCCCCTTCAGTGCGGCAGAGGTTATGGCTGCCTCCCCTGGTGCTTTTTTCATTGCCGTTGTACGATGAGACCAGCGAGCCTAAATATCATATATACGTGAAATAAGTTATTTAGAGACTATGGATGGCGAGGATAAATGTAATAAAGGGATCTACAAACATTACATTGGTGACCTACAGTGAGATGGGAACAGGCATGCGCTTAGGGCCCGCTTTCCAGCCAGTTTCTGTGGGGTGACGCATTCTGAAGTGAGGCAGAGCTCATCTGTGCCTCACCTCACCCCACAGTAAATGGCTTGAGCGCGCTCACAAAATAAGTGGCCGCGCTAAATCAGTGCCCGCGCTCCAGCAAGTTACTGTGGGCTTACGTGAGGCAGAGCTCGTCCCTGCCTCACTTCTCATCGCTCCCGTAGCGGAGCTCGGCAAATTTGCTGATTTTGACTATAAAATGCGATTGGAATCATACAGAAATCACATTTACACAAGATCAGTGGAGACATTTTATTATTATTATTATTTAGTTTTTCTTTAATTGCTTTTCCGTTACATTGGAGTATGACTGGTGAGGCTCTGCCTCCCCTGCCTCCACTGACTGCATGTCGCTGATAGGTATGTATGCATGTAAACAGCAAAGGCTAAAACCCAGAGGGAGTTTCTCTCCCAAATACCCCTATGTATGCATGTAAACAGCAAAGGCTAAAACCCAGAGGGAGTTTCTCTCCTAAATATCCCTACCCCCCTACAGAATTGTACTCCTTCCGTAACATAGTGACATCACTACGTAACACTCCTGCATCTCTTGGCTTGCGCTCCAACAAATTGTACGTGAGTAAGGGGCACACATCTCTAAGTAGTTGACCAATCACAACAGAGCCCGCCAGCTAACCAATCAGAACAGACTGGGCTCTGGTTTCAGACAGAGGGTGAAAAGAGGTGCTGCAGCACAGGCAGTATGAGAAAAATAAAGAGCTTTTTGAACATTAAACATGTAACAGGTCACAGTAGAGACACTAAATACAAATTAAACCTGAAATTAACTCAAACGGGATCAAAGTTGTTTCTCTGTAATGCAGCTATTTTAAGGAATTCTTTATTTTTAGAGCATGGCATACATCCATTTCATCACATGGGTGGTCATTTTGCCACAACCTGCTTTTTTCTCTGGGCTTCTATGTCCAGATGAATAGTCCACAGGAAAAACGGATTTTATTAATCAACTCTCTGATGCCGCAGTATGAGTGAGCTGTTATGTAATCAGGAGGCTTTGTCACTCGCTTACATACAGATAGGTGTGCTTTTGTACTTGTGAGGACCTTCACTGACATAATGCATTCCTTAACCCTGAGCTCAACTATCACAACCACATGCTGGAACACGGCTGTGTCCGAAATCACTCACTCATTCATTTCTCCCTAATCAGTATTTATGTAGAGGACTTTATAGTGAACTCATTGCCAAATAAAAACACTTTTGGGCACTTGTCGCAAAATTAAGCCGTGCCAGATAGACAGTGGATCATCCATGACAAATATGGAAATGTGACAAATACATATCAAAATCTAAAGTTGCCTCTGAGAGAGATATTCTGAGTGATTTAATTCCCCTGGTAAGCATAGATGCATCGTATTTATCTATAACTTTTTTTGTGTCAGAGAGAACAGAGTAGCGTGGTATCTTGTTTTCAATCTGGGGGCAGTAGGTGTATTTTTCGAAACAATGCTTTGCTAAAATGATTTCATGCCTTCAGAGCAATACATGATTGTAGGCTATTATACATTATATAATGTACTATAGCTGGTTAGTGAACATTGTTGTAGACTACCTTTCATGAACTATTGTGGGATTTTAGTCAGTCCACCAAGTAGCGTATTATAATTCTCACCATACTAGTGAGTGGCAAAATCACTATTGAACCATATAAAATTTAAACTTAGCATATTTCTACACTCAGTTTTACATATAAGTAAATACAATGTAGAGATTTGTTAATGTTAACTAGCCAATATATGAGTGGTTTAAAGTATAGACTAAAAGATCATTTGAATTGCAGTCAACATGTCAGACCTGAAACCTGATTGAGTTTGATCAATCTAGTTTCATTTGATTGAAACTAGCAAAATATTCACAGGACTTTCAGCTCCAACTGAAAATTAAATGTATAAATAACTGATGCAAACCAATCTAGGGCCTTTCATTTGAGTTGAGCTATCATTATGTTATGAGGTACACCTGCACTTTAACATTTTTGCTGCTCATAAGACCTGATATCTGCTACCTGGACAATGTTGGAGTCACAGTTATAAACAGTACTAAAAAAATAATGTTTTCTCCCATCATGCAACATTTGCAAGACAAGCAACTTTTAAACATAAGGAGTTTAATTTCCTAAGCGGAGATGCCATCTTTAATTAATTTGAGCTTTTCACTAGTAAAACAAGCTCCAATGATTCCACTCACAATGGTGTTGTGTGGCTGTTTGCTAATGACAATAATCCTTGTGTACAGTGCTCTACACACATGGGTCTGCTTTCATGAAAGAGGGTAGTGATTGTTTGCGGGCTTCCTACTTGAAGTTCAAATATTGTTGCCACTTGTTGAAACGAGCTAAGATGGTGTCTACCATTGGCAACATGTTTGGATAGCACTAGTATAATTCATATATCAATCCTGTTGAAATTATGTTCTGTTGCTCTTTAAATATTCAAATGAGAAGACAAGGGGAAAGAAAGCCAAGCCTCTGCTGGAGAATAGGCCAGTTTGTGAACCATTTCCTAATTGTTAATGAGGGGCTCCAGGGCAGCTTGCCAAGGCTGGAGGGCCAATAGCGTAGGCCTATTTGAACAGTAAAGGGGGGGCAGAGAGGGAGAAGGGGCTAGCTGTGGGGACTCTGTCACTGAGGGGACCCCTAAACCCCATCGGCCCCCTCCTACCTGGTCCACAAAGTGCTGGAGCAGGCAGCTGAGAGTAACTGTCACTTCCACCCGGGGCTTTAATGAGGGTTCTGCTGCTGCTTTAGGACTCTGGTGAGCTTGTGTGGCTTACTATCTGAGGAGCAAACCCAGGGTCAGCTGATTTGGAGAGTTTAGAGGGGGGTCACCGAGTTATTAAAGATGTCCAACAACAACAATAACCAAGAGGAGAAGGAGGAAAAGGAAGAAGACACGGAAGAGAAAGGAGAGGACGTCATGGTGAAAATCCCCCCACCTCCATCTCCTCCTGAGGTCAACGAGAAGGGTCCGACTGAGGAGGACAAGCCGGACCCTAAACCCTTGCCCAACGGGCACCAATGCCAGCCTATGAACCGCAGTATTTTTCCTCTCTCCGCAGTTTCACCGGCAGCCGAGAGGATCCGCTTCATACTCGGTGAGGAAGATGATGGCCCGGCACCCCCTCAACTCTTCACGGAGTTGGATGAGCTGCTGTCGGTGGATGGACAGGAGATGGAGTGGAAGGAGACGGCCAGGTAAGGACCACAGTCTCACACTCAGGTTCAACAGAGCTGTCAGTGTTCCATTTTGAGGGACCCTCTTCATTTATTTGTACTCGATCATTTAAGAAATCACGAACTAAATTCTTGATGTCAATCTTATTTTGAAGAACATTTATTTTAATAAGTTCACTTCAAACATCGTTTGGAGCTTTGGATGTTTTTTTCAGTCACACCAGTGACTGAAGAAAGATTCTTGAACTTATTCTTACATCAGGGAATTTGCTGTCTGCATTGAATTGAAAAAGCGAGCACACAGGGTTCCCCAGGTTTCTCCTGTGTGGCCCACTAGTGGGAGAGAGATGGGCTCATTGTTTTATAAATCATTAGCTCTGGATGAGTGAAGCTCTCTCAGGGGGAAACTGGATCCCTGGGCTGGTGTTTGAGGCTCCACATGAGTTGATCTGTTATCCTAACCTCTGACCAATTGTACTGCTGAAAAAGTTACATTTTGGTTCACTCTTCGTCAAATGACTTGCAGCAGAATTGTACTGAAGAACTTAGCCAAGTTATGATGATGCATTTGTCCTGCCCCTGATGCACATTATGTGATTGATATTAGCTTGGTAAAACATTTGCTTAGATATACTTTAACTGCGTCACTATGTCAACATTCAAAAAGTTACATTAGAGCTTGACATTCAGGCAAAAATACAACACTTTAGGGATAGTATTTACCTTAGTTTTACCTGGATTGGATTAGATACACGTCAAAATGTAAATGAATTGAAAGTGCGTCATAGCATTTGACACTTTCGGCTTGAGAATAAGACTTCTGATCATGTAATGGCATCCATCTAGGAAAAAACCTAACTATCGAAAACAGACAAAATGTTGTTCATTGATTGATTCCCAGGTATGAGGTAGAATTGAGTGTCATATTTCCCAATGTACAATATTAATTATACAGGGTAACACAGTTACAAAAAATACATAAAACAAGTAGAAACTATCAAATAAGGTTAAAGGGAAAAATACAAGTTTTTTCTTCTCTAAAGGAGAAATTTCTCTGCAGTCAAGAGTTTCAACTGAAATACCACAATACAAGTGTACACAAAACAAATCTATTCAAGAGGATCAGCAGGACTGAAAAGGTTGAAATAAGAGGACAGTTCAACCCTTTAAATCATGTCAGTTACTTATTTAAAGCGTACATTGCTTATTAAAGTTGAAATAAATCCATCCTGCATCTTAATGTCAAAATTATTATTCTGCAAATAACTGCAGAGATTAAGACCCGTTCCAATGTCTCACCAAGTGCACTCTGTGGACCCAAAAGGAATAAAAGATCTCACAAGTGCTGGGTAGTGCTGGCTGTCTGCCAAGTGCAACTTTTGCAGCCAAGACTGGCCGAATAAAACCCTGGCATAAAGACAACTGCTCAGTACTAGTTTAGTTTCTCATCTCCCTGACTCTGAGGGAGGGGGGAATGGGAAGTGATTAAAGAGATACATGAAGGAGATAGAAATGACAGTGCTGCCTCTGGATTCAAAAACCTTTATCTGAAATTATTCTCACCTGTCTACCCGGTGTTCATCACACAACACATTTAATAATTAAAAAAAACATGAAATTAATTACAAAGAGGCAGTTTTGAAGTGTTATTATTAAAGTAGAAGGGGAATGTAGTCGTGGTGTAGTTTCACCATTTACAGTACTAGACCAAAATGCCTTAGAATGTATACACATTTGAAAATGTATCATCATATTTAAAAATGTGTTAAAAATGTTTTACATAATCTGTTTAATACTTGAACCCATACAAGATCATTTTAAGATATACTTTGGATGTTATTTCCAATAGTATATGGACAAACATGACACGTACATATATGCACTGCATTTGTGTCATATTTAATGTATTATGTGGTGAGTTTCCAGGTCATATTGGCTTCAACTCTATCAATCCAGCTTGCATTTACAGCTCCATACATGTAATATAACATACTTTTATTTGAATGGGAAATATATATAATATATATATATATATTTCCCATTCAAATAAAAGTAATATATATATATATAATATAATATATTAAAGGTCCCATGACATGCTTTTCCGGTTATTATCCGTTCCCTTGTGTGTTATGTAGCTTTTTATGTAAACGGTCTGCAAAGTCACAAACCCTCAAAGTACACCCTGTAGCGAGTAAAACTCTAACACAGAAAAGACCTGTCTATGCTGCCCCAGAACGCCTCGTTGGAGATTTTTCTTTTTCCATTTGTTTCTTCCGGGAACCAAGTGACGTAACGACGACCCAATGGACCCATTGGTCCAAATGGACCAATCCGCGGAGCCGCTACGTTACGTCCGCGGAGCCGTTACGTTACGTCCGCGGAACCGTTACGTTAAGTCCGCGGATTGGTCCAAATGGACCAATCCACAGACTTCCTCACACACACACACACTCAACCTTTTCTCAGCTGCAGCTCCGCGGATTTGTCAGCCTGAGACGGCGGGACGCGGCGAGGCTGCGAGTCTGTGTGTGAGCACACACACAGACTCACAGCCAGGCTGCAGGTGTCTGTGTGTGCTCGGGCTGGTTTCGGGCTGGGTTTCGCTGTGTCTCGCTGTCTCGCCGACCCCACGCAGCAACTAGGAAACCACACCAGTAAGCTAGCTCACACTGTCCGCAACGTCCCGCCAACACGGCACCCAGACCCCACACAGCATTCGCATCTGTTTGTCATTATTGGTGTCATTTTCTGGTTGCTAACAAATGCCATTGTAACACATAAACACTGATGTTCCGCTGTAACAGTGGTGGACTCATCAGAACAGAGTGGGCGAGCTGACCAATCAGAGCACACTGGGCTCACAGGGAGGGGGGTGCAGGAGCTCCAACAAGCCGTTTAGGCAGTGTTCAAATTACCCATTTGCTTTCGGGGGAGCCCTATGTTTTTTATTTATTTTTATTTTTTATAAAGGTGCACTCCGGTGGATTTTTCTGTGAGCGGCAGGGAGATCAATATACTGTACTTTTTGCCTCTTTGCATATCTCACATCCACATTTTTATGAAAAGCCATGGATACCTTTCATTCCACTCACTCCATCTTTTCTGTGTCCAGTTAAAAGGCAGTTCATGGGCATCGTCAGGTTCGCTAGTGCAGGTGGCACCGGCGGCTGTGGCCGTTGTTGAAGCCTCTTCAGGCTCCGCATCGGCAGGCCTCTCCCTCGGTGTGGAGCTGTCAAACTCGACCCTAACGCCGCTTACAGCCGGCCAACTAAAAGTTGTTCCGTTCACGTTGTCATTTTTAGACTCCTTCGCTTCTTTGCTTGTGAATCCAAAGCTGCGAGGCTTGGCTGTTTTCATTTCGCCATATTTTTATGACAAAGCCAGAGTTAAAAAAATATCAATATGAACATTTCAAATACTGCGCCGGCATCACCGCCGTAACCATAGCAACGTAAGTAGCGTAAAGAATGCAGCGCCGCCACATACAGATGGCAACACCCAGAAATATTCACAAATATAAAACAAATATTCAGAAACTGTAATGAACAATGACTATTATTTATTACAGAAACTCAACATTTATAATCTGTGTGACACAAATATGCACAATTTTTTTGGGCTCCCCCTATTTATCTCAAAGTTGGCCTTCAGGGGAGCACCCCCCTCTTTAGGGGAGCCAAGCTCCCCCTGGCTCCCCCCCATTTCGAACACTGCGTTTAGGACAGAGAGTGAATATACATGCTATACAGAGATGCTGTATGAGAAACCAATGTGAGTTTGGAAAATTGCGCAATATAAATCTATTCTAGTAGACCTCAACAATGGAATTATGATCAGTAGAAATGGCCATGACATGGGACCTTTAAACCCTGGAAAAACAAAAATATAAATCCTTACGCTAATACAGTAAAAACTGTTCATATGTTGTGTTATCCTGTATTGATACTTGATTTCACAAGGTCACCATCTGTAGGTTAGTTCATTATTCTTTAATGAGCTGAATTACACTTTCACATACTGTAAGTACTTAAAAGAATATGGCGTAAAAGATCACATCAAGCCCTGTTTAAATGATCTGTTACTGTATGTAGCTGTCTTCAGGTTCCCAGTTTAATCCTATCCTTTTTCTGCCCCTTTTCATTCCTCCAGGTGGATCAAGTTTGAGGAGAAGGTAGAGAAAGGAGGTGAACGCTGGAGTAAACCCCACGTGGCCACGCTGTCCTTACACAGCCTCTTTGAGCTGCGGACGTGCATAGAGAAGGGCACCATCATGCTGGACCTGGAAGCTTCCACTCTACCTCAGGTTGTTGGTAAGTTGGCTAGAGTTGGTGTTTTCTCAGTACTTGACCATTATTAAAAGAGCACACATTTTTCATAAAAAGGTTCGGGGACTTGTAAGAGACTGATTGAAAACAGAAAACTTGAAATTCTTCATCCCCCTTTTAATGCTTCTTAATATAGAGTGCTTTCACGAGACTCTCCATGCTGTATGTCTTTCAAAGTCGTCATCATCAGTTTGTAACACAGGCTTTCTGTTGTAAATGTATCCCCTTCAAGCCCAAACCAAAATGACTCAATGTCTCGCAGACTTTTCAAAACTCTGCAAGACCCACAGAGGACATTACAGTTTACACAGGCAGAATACTACTGTTCATGACTACCACATTAATTTTAAAATATAGAATCTGGGGATTGCCCTTTTAATAGAAACACTATAGTCACCTAACGTCCTAACCATACCTAGAGCTCCACAGTAACCATTTAAAAAAACATTCATAGAAAATACATTTTATTGTCTCTTTAAAACAAAATCATTCTGCGAAAAATAATTGTGCCAAGGTTTTTTTAATGGCATATAATCACTCCAGTGAATAACAGAATTCTGCAACATGTTTTTTAGTAGTTTTAATGTGTATAAGTCTTTTTTTTAACTGTTACCCAATGACACAAGTGAAGGTCAGAAGAAAACTCGTCTGCCAGTTAGATTTTGTCTGCTCTGTGATGTACGATGTGTTGCGTGCAGGTTTATTGATTCCTGCGCATCACACAAGGGGCTCTGAGGATTTACTTCCTTCCTCTGTTTCGCTTTAAGTGAAACAAAAGGTCGCTTCCATAGTCGAGTCCATCCAACACTGTACTTTATGTTGGAACAGTGAGGAACTCAAATAGTAGTTTGTAAACGGACACACACTTCCTTATTTGAGGACAGCCAACCCTCTTCCTTTTTGTCTGCATGAAGGAGCAGGAGGAAGAGTTACCAGTTGCGAGTGATTAATGTGATCTAATTGAGAGCGCTGCACGGACTGAGCGGACACAGTGGAGCTGGGCCTCTTGCTTTGAGGCCGGCAGGCTTGACTGATGGGCCATTAACAGCGCTGCCCCTCCACAAGAAGAGGAACTCCCCGAGGCTCACCATTCAGGCTCCTGACCTTCTTTTTAAAAATAGCCAAGACCTTTTGATTGAGCCGTTTCATGATGCCAGGAAGACTTTCATACAGGAGCATTACAGTCTGGGTGGCACTAATTAAAGCCTTGCAAAAGTGAAGGGACTTTTTATGTCGCCTCACGCATTTGCTTTGTGTTGTTACTAAATTAAGACTCCCGAAGGCTGCACGAAGGGAAGAAATAGACCTATTATGATAGGGAAGAACAGAGGATCTACATTTTGGGCAGCATGTGCATGTATCACAAAGTGTTTGTTTTGTATTCATTTGTATTTTTGGCAATTCAATTCAAATCTTAATGTCTATGTTGCATATAAAGTCAGTTGACATGAGGCTTTGCTGGTGTTTTTCCCCCCCTGCAAGTTGAATAAATGTAGGTTTTTACGACAAAATAAGCAATTACAAGACAATTCTAGTTTTTGGCGGGTCTAATTATACAGTTGTCAAATCTTAAAAACAGTGGTTACACTTTCTTCCCTCCAGAAAAAGAGTGAAATCATCGTTCCTCACCCTCTTCTTTCCCTCTCCCCTCTCTGCACCTTCAGAGCTGATCACAGACAACCAAATACAGATCGGCCAGCTGAAGCCAGAGCTGAAGGACAAAGTGATGTACACGTTGCTCCGGAGACATCGCCACCAGACCAAGAAGTCCAACCTGCGCTCTCTGGCTGACATCGGGAAGACGGTCTCCAGTGCAAGTAGGCTGTTTTCCAACCAGGAAAACGGTAATACTGATGCCAGTGTGGTGCAGTCTTCTTTTCTTTTTAAATGGTGTAAAGGAAACTAAATCAGCTACTTTACTCCTATAATTAAATAAGCTTTAGTGACCCGAACCCTTAGTTAAATATAGTTTTTTCTATTGTCACTCAAGTTATAATGGGTGTGTAGTTTGTTTTTATTATAGACCTGATCAAAAAAAATATCGACCCTTGAACTTTATTTTGAAATAATCTTATTTATGCTAATATAGTAAAGGATGGAAGGCGTTTTTTATATAACACATTTCAACAGAAGGAGATCCTTAGTGTTTTACAAAAAGAAAAAAGATTTATGACATTAAAACATTATAATATTACATTTTTATATTTCTTAAAAGCCAAGGAAATACAAATAAAACAAGCTAAATAAGAATAAGATAGTTATACAATACAATAGTCACTGAACGCTGCTTCTTCACCATACTTTCTCACCAAACTATTTACAACATTTCTCATTCAACTAGAAAAATTACATTTAGTAGATGTCTGTTGCTAATCCATCCTTCTAACATCATGTACTCACTGAGGCAACTGTACTAACTGCATTTACAGTTGCTTAATATTGAATTGCAAAGACTTAGCTGTAAATTCTGATTCTGAAGAATTTCTTTATGACACTAGGTGTGAAAAGTCCAAGGCCAAAGGAGAGATCATAAACCTGAGCCAGTCATTTGAAAGGATATGACTAACTGAGAACTAGAGAGATTATAATTTAAAGCGAATGCAGTCAGAGTCTCTTGTTGTTGACAGAGGTTGACATAATTCTCGCTTCTTTCTTTTTTCATGTTGATGACATTTCTGAGAATAATGTTTAGTTCACCGTATAATGTAACAACTCTTTCATCACACAGGGAGGGCTGTCACTTTGCCTCACTTCAAGTTATACCAGAAAGTTAATACCAAGAAACTGATTCCAAAATAATGTACACAAAAACAGTCAATGTAAAGAACAAACTTATTTTTAAACTAATGCTAAACTTAATTGGCGATCTTGACAGAATTGTAGCTGCTGTAGGATATGAATGTAACAATAATATGCCCCATGTTTATACAGAGCCCTTTGAAATAAATTCACTCAACAAAATTCTTTAACAATTTAAAGTAACTATTTTCGCAGGACAGAGTTGCAAGAAAAAAACGCTTTATAAGTGATTTACATTACCATGGTTTCCTCAGGTTCTTAAACAGTCTTAAATTCGATAAAAAAAAGTATATTATTAACATAAACATGATTATATAGGTCTACTGTTGTTTTTTTTAACTGCAAATCCAGAGGGTCATCAAAGTTGATATATGCTCGGTGGAACAATGGAATCAAAATCCATAACAAAGGTTTCCACACTGAGCAAAATGTAGCATCCCCAAAAAAGTGTTATTATCATTTTGGTGACTGCTCTAAGATTAAGATTTGAGATTTAGCTAGATTTTTAGATAATACCCTGTTTAATGCATGGCTTAGCATTGGAGCCTAAATGAATCCAAAAGCTGCCTTTGTATGAAGACATTAACATTAGGACAATTAACAATCAAACAGGAGGAACCGCACATGTGGATGAACCAATTTAACTATATGTATGTGTTGTTTAAACAGGTAAATTCATTTATGTACTTTAATTATTCTAGAATGTCCTTCACATTTCTGTCCATATGACTGCAAAATACAAATAGGTATTACATTTAGTTCTTTACCCTCTTTAAAACGTCTTGAACTGAAAGCTACCTAAACTCTGCCTTTAATCAGTCTCTACAGCAGTGCGATCTAAAGTAAAGTGACAGCCCTGACACACACTGATATCTAATGACGGTTAACAACACACAAATGGGTGCTTTGATTGTAACACATTAAATGAATGAATGTCTCATTGTATTGACAATGTAATTAATCTGTTAGCAGCCATGGGTCCTTGGAGAGTGAAGTTATTAATGACCTGCTATCAGATTTATGAAGCCGGTTTATGATGCCATCAAAAGAAAAGCTCCCTGTTCATGGAATGGTCAAATGGAAACGCATCATAAAAAAGTTCTGAGATAACGAGCTTCACTGATAATTATAATTGATACTATACTTTACAGGGATAAAGTACATCCTCTAGTTTATTATAATACAATTCGACTCCTGTCAAAAATAACGCTCTCCAATGGCCCATTGCCTCCAGATGTAATGACCTCACTTCTCTTTCCTTACTTCTCTGCACATAAAATGAGTTATAAGTCATGTTTTCCTCTTTTAACTACTTGATTGTGTTTTCCTAACAAATACCTTGCTTTGGCTCAGTGGGCTTGTCTATCAACTCTTCCTTCTGTCTCTTTTTCCTCCTTTTCTGCTTTCCTGGATTGGGTTTGTTAACCTGCTGCTGCTAATAAAGCTCGTAGTCCTCTTGACAATTCTGTGACTTGCCTGTCGGGTCACATATCAATGGAGGACTTGCAGAACCAAAGAAGTACCAGCATGGACTGGCTTAGTAAGTGACCTGAACCACGTCTACGTTCACACTGCAGACAACCGATCCGTTCTGAATCATTGCTAGTATTTGTATGAACAGAAACATTAAACCTATATATGAATTCATTTGACCAACTGAGGCCTCTTTAAAAAGACCAAATATAGCCAATTTGCCATGCCAACCCAAATATTATTTCTCTTAAAATGCCTCAGTAACTCTTTCAGTATTCCATGTGACTCATTGGAACATTTGACTTTCGTCACATCATGTGAGTGAAAACGGTCAAAATGGAAAATGGTTAGCTGCAGTTGGAACGTAGTCATAAAACCTGTAGTGTAAAATGTCACCTGTCCCAATGTATAAAGTACAGTAGTAGTCAGTAATTGGCTTTATGTAGTAGTGGCTTTGAATAGTTTTTCATTCCTATTAGTTTAACAGATTTTCTACCAAACGTAGAATAGCTGTTTGACGGCGAGGTCAAATATTTTAAATATAGAGTACACTAAACCGATATAGATTTTTTTTTCACGTGGCTAAAATATATTTACCCTGTCTGACTGACTATATATAAGTTCCTCATACAACTCCACTTCCAACTCTGCCTTTATTTAAATGTTATTTCCAAATCCTTCAATCTAGATTTGGCTAGGAATCCTGTTTACTTTATTCCTGTATCTACTCTACATCATTTACACCGGCTGCATCATACTGTCAAGCATGTTATTACCCGAAATCCTCAGGTGGCAGTTGAAAGGCTTCAGTGGCTTCAGAATTTGCTCTCTGAGATTTGTACCGCTGTGGATACTCTCTCTCATCCCTGACAGCTCCAGGAAGAAAGTGAGGTCACGTTCGACTGTCAGATCTTCAACGCTCAAGTTGACGGGTTAAAACCAGAAGTCAGCAGAGCATCTATCAGTCTGCTGCTCACCTGCCTCATAGGAGGAACCACACTACCGCTTTGATGTAAAGATAATCAAATGTTCTAGTAAGGATAGATGCTCAATATGAGAAAAGCTAATTTGTATATTTATATTTTTTTTTAGGAGGCAATGCTTTGGGCATTTTAGCCAAGTCTACACAAAAAAAACATTTCATGATTGTTGTAGAATTAAGTGGGCCAAACACTAATTTAGTTTTTGTGCTGTGTTTTAAGAGTTGGTAGGGTTTATACTGGCGGAAATGATCATATATCTAGGGAAGGCTGTATGCTGATCTTAGAAAAATATCATGGAAAATTCCACATCCGACTGAAAATTGTTAGGTGTGGCTGTTTTCAATTTTCAGAAGACTTTATTCATACCAGGGGCTATCCTTATTAGACAATGACATATGAGTACAATACTTTAAAGTTAGCTTAAATAGTGACCATCATTTAGTCAGGAACGTGTCCTCCGGTGTTAGTTTAATGGTGAACTGTCTGGGAGCAAACTGTCTGGGCCACTGGCTTTTTTGCGGTCTCTGCCATCCTTTTTTACTCCCACTTTAGTTCTTAGACCAGCTTCACCTTCACCAAGATCTAACTCTACAGGGTTTGATATGTTCTTTTTACAGATAGTCCTGCTACAACTCCCCGGAACCTGACCTCCAGCAGTATGAACGACATTTCTGGACAAACCAGAAAAAGACCAGGTGAGTCAGCCTAATGACTTGATTGTGTAAGTTAATTTGTTAACATAGAATACAAGAAAACATTTGTATTACTTGAATATGAAGCTGATATCTCTGTTGCTGTTTCTATTGACAGATGGCAAATATTTTATGAACAGATTCATCCAATTACGATATCTTAAATCTCTATGAGAATTATTGTGAGCGTTTTTACATATCAGATCAATCTAGGAAGTATAGAATCATAAAAGAAAATCTCCAAGGTTCATCTTATTTAAATAGCCAATTGAGAATTATTTTTAGGTGCTTTAACAACATTGAAAAAGTTGTAATCGATTTTTTCAGAAATCAAAAGCTAAATATCTCATTGATTGTGTCGTGCAAAAAGAAGTGTGGTAAACGTGCTATTGTCCGTCATTTATTCAACAATTTTCTTGAAATGACTCAGATGCCTTTTAAAGTATAGCTTGACCAAAAGGACAAAATCACTGGCTGGCGTTGCAAAGCTAACATGTTAGCCTGAAAGTAGCTTTATCCACTGCAGAGGTGCAGGAACCAGTCAGAGCACACTGTGGCTGCTGGCTCAGAGCAGAGTTTAGATTGTGTAAAGTACACTGTCCCATCTGCTGTCGTCATCACCCGGCCTGCTGCAGCTGGATTCAACCTGCCACAGCCAAGTCTGTAGTACATATATCCAAGTTCTTATGTAATATCTCTACTTAGCAGTTTATTGAGTCCAGGAAATCTGAATGAACTCCTCCTTTAATGTGCAGTTAAGAATGATTGCTGAAGCGAGGATGACGCTTAGGCAAAGGATCTTTGGAACAATGACTAACAGAAAGACAAATGAATGCTAAATCAATGATTAAGTGACAACGAAAAGTACACACCCAAACATACGTTCATTCTTTTCCAGTCCACTAGAACTTTAAGATACAGTATGTCATAGATTATCTGTCCCACTCAGAGGAGATATGGAGGACTTTTTCTTTGTGTTTATCAATGAATTTCCCTCATTTGTGTAGCAGATGAAATACTTTAGCTTCTTCAATGGTTACCAAGCATCTGGGAGAAAATGAACGCTGTCTTAATTGGTTTTGAAGCCAGTCAGTGCTGTATTGATAAAGATTATTTAGCTTTTACTCAATCATGTACTTCATAGTGTTTATATTTATATTCATATGTGATGTAGAAGCACCTATGCTGGGCTCAATGCACTCGTTGCAAGTTAACGTATTATACTCACTTTCAGGTTAGCGTATTTTGGGTTTCTATTCAAACATGTTCAAATGATTTAGTGTTTTTCTAAAAACGTATTTTTTCTCAATATTTTCTGAGAATACCTGTATTCTCCCTCTGTTTTAAATGCTTCGAACCCATCCTTTCAAAAAATCCCCGTCAGCACTGATTGGTTGGTATTTCCGAAATGGTTTGATAGGCCCAAAGAGAACAACATCTTTAACCCTAAACCCAACCCTAAACCCAAAATGTCTTATTATAAGAGACCTTACATTCCAGTTTTGGTTTCATTTTCCATTTTGAGGGTATTCTTGACTTCTGAGATGGGATTAGTGGCAAAACTAAACGATATATCACATTATTTTGCAAAAGGTAATGTAGGAAATATGCATTGGTGTTTTTCTGGATGCTTACACCTTACTGTAAACACCTAACTGTGAACACCATTGATAGCGGAACAGTTAGAGTTCACAGCAGCCATTGGTTCATCTCACACCAGAATAGGCCTCTGCATGGGGGAAGAGAATTAGGTCACACCAACCCAGTTAGTCCTCCTGTGGGACAGACATGCAGACAGGATGCACATCTCCTAAACTGAAGCTCTTCCACACCAAATCAGACTATAAATACCATTCAGACATTTCCTCTGATCCCACAGGCCCTCATTACTGACCACATGTTAGAGGCAGAAAACACATTCAGAAGTAATATTCAGTGCTAAATTATAAAAAGTGTAGAGTTTCAATCACTAAAATCTTGGTTCATCGCTGCATTGTTCGACGGAGAATGTTGTGGTACCTGGTGTGTAACATATCTTATCTATTTGAAAATAGTAATTTATAATATCATAATTATTATGAGAACTACTACAGGTAATGAAGAATTATTATTTTTGGGGAATGTATGTAAACTAACCCTTTTAAGAGGTAGGGAGCAATGAGCAGTACAACAATTTTAACAAAAAGTCATGTGATTTAGGATCTTAAAAATGTTTACAAGTAGATTTGTGCATCATGGCGGTTCAGACTGAAGTGTGACGGGAACACATGCATGTGCGTAGTTTATGGATTAGCAGTGATTGGACTCAGGTCAGGGTGTGAAGTTACGCAGGTTAACTTTCGGATCAATCATTTACAGACAAATGTCTTGCCAACACGCCTCTAAAGCCGCTAATGGGATGTGTTTGGATCTTGCCAAGAAGAACAAGTTTATGGGATTCAAGTCCTCAGAGGTTGATGGCAGCGACCCTGTCAGTGCATTATCTGTATTTTTGGCGGGCTGGATGACAAGTGAACAACAGCCATTTTGTTCTTTTTGTCCTGTTTTTAAACGTTGTTATTGTTGGTTGAAACCAATGATGAAGAAAATAAGTCTCTTTATTTACAGTTTTATTCTTACTTCCATCTTATTTTGGACCCATTTTATTTTACAATGACGAAACTGCTGTCTGACTAAGTTTGTTACGGCTCCCTGCCAGCGATAGCCGAGGTCTAGGGAATTACATTTCAAGGTTGGGGGTTCGATCCTAACCCCCGCAGTCAGCATGCCAATCTGTCTTTGGGCAAGATACCCTCTAATTGGAGTTGTATTTTGTATTTGTATTTCAATCGAATGGCAACCTCTGCCTCTGCATGAATGGGGTGTGAATGGATGAATGCTGACTCTTAGATGTAAATGTTTTTTAGAGGTTGTAAAGACTGGAAAAATGATATCCATTTCCCCTTAGAATTTGGTGGACAAAGTCACTGTGACCTCACTAAACAAGTTTTTAGCCATAATTCTTATATAAGTTCTATATAAGTTGTTTTGTTTTCTAGTATGTGTGGCTTACTGGCAGCCTTACTTTGATTGGAGAAAATGCCAGAGTTGTTTGTGATCTAATCCAATTTAAATCCTGGCTCAGTGGATTTTAAAAAGACAGATAGTAGTCTTCCTCAGTTTGGTATTCACAGGTATGTGGACAGGTGGTTTATTTTAACAAGGCTTTACATGAAAGAATCCTTATAAAATAGAAGAAAACATAAACAGCAAGTTAACACTGTGGTCCCACCTAGAATCAGAGGAAAATAAATGTTTATTTTATAATGCGCCAGAGTTGAGATAATGAAGCATTATAGATTCTTGGTGATCTTCTTAGTCCAATCCATTTGGCATCTTTATTGCATTGTGCACACATTTTGCACGTGCATGTGGTTACAGTTGAAATAAAATGGGCAATATTACATTTCACCGCTTTGATATAAACTAGCTATATTGCATACATATTGACCAAAAATGTATATTCTGTCCAGTTTCACATAACTTTGCAACATGTTTTTACATTATCTTAAGGATTTTTGTATAGGTTGTGAATGGGCCCGCCTAACTCATTAAATAAGTGCATCTAATCCTTCTATTTATTTGAAACCAGTGGACCTATGGAGCCTCTTTCCCATTGAATAAGAACCCGCTTACTTCTGAATTAATTGTCTTCAAAATTCAAGTTGAACTGTTAAATAAAATAGTGTTATTTGCACTAATATTTATGCAGAACACACTTGAATGGGACCATAATGATTCAGAGGTGCTTTGAATTGTCACTTGCTGGGTCTCAGTAAATGATTCCTGCTTGCTCTGCTGTTTTAAAGTGAATAAATAACCCACTAGTTTTCCATGACAATCTTGTCTCGATGTTTATGGTTCTTTTTCTTTGATCTATTTATTAATGATCTCAATCTGGTCATAAACATTCCACTATTTTTATTATATGGAACATCTAATGAAGCAAATAACATTGTGGCATAAAAATACGAGTAGATTAAATTAATGGGGATCTTCTCAGTCCAATTTACTTAACAAAGAGGTCATTCTTACTTGGTTCTCTTTCATCAAACAAACAGTGTGTGTAGTTATTCTTTAATTGGTTAGATCTTCCAACCAGCCATTCGAATCCAAAAAACCTACGTTATCACTAGTATATGTTCCAAGAAAGAATAGAAATTAAAACACTTTAGTGGGTTAAACATGCAAAAACACTGGTATGTTCCTTTCTTTACAACTTGGAAACAGCTCCTCAAAAACACATTTGCAAGACTTTAATGTCTTTTTGAGTTGTTGAACCTGTGAAGCCCAGCAGGTGTCTGACCCCATCTTTAGACATCTCACCGTCACTAGAAGAGAAAGAAATACGGACCTCATGTTACTACTTGTTTCTTACCTAGATAGCATGGGAGCCTCCTGGTTTGGTATTTAGGCTGAAAGGGATTGTCCTGTTTGATATAGGTTGTTTATATTCAGTCGTGTCGGGTAGCTTGCTGGTGTGAACATAACACTTAATGTCTCCTCTTTTGTACTTTCAGCTGAGGAACAAGTTCATGAAGAAGTTGCCGAGAGACGCCGAGGCCTCCAATGTGCTGGTGGGGGAGGTGGACTTCCTGGACTCACCGTTTGTGGCGTTTGTTCGTCTGCAGCAAGCTGTGATGCTGGGAGCCTTAACAGAGGGTCCCTGTTCCCACAAGGTGGCTGAGATTTGTGTCAGAACTAAAGGAATTCTTAAATATAAGCTCAAGTAAAACTAGTGAAAGCTGCATCAGTCCAACATGTCCTAACAGATACCAAGGTTTCATAACACCAATAGAAATCTGTAAAAAGATTATGATAAAGAAAGTCTGAAAATATGCACCCGAAACAAACAAAAAGTGGGTACAAGTAGGGCATCTATATATTTTATTTATCTATAATTGCATAGTTAACATAACAGTTTGGATTAGGCTTTTCCTTTATTGTGTCTAACTGTTTGTTCTCTGGCTTTTGATGAGGTTCATAAAACTACAGGTGCGACACTAAACTGGTGTCAGTAGTGTTGTTTGTAAACAAGATGCCATAAAGCAATGCTGAAGTCCTGTTGAACTCGTACGTTATATAATGTCCTTAAAAGATTTCTCTGCTATGTTGACATATTGTGTCATAGGTATATTAATGTAAAACACATATAATGTAGCATGGAAAATATTTGGGAGGGATTTCAATGGATGGATTGGACCAAATGATAATATTTTGGTGCTTGTAGTGAGTGTGTCCAAAGCTTAGAAATATGTGAATAACTGTTCACTAAATAAAATGAAAAGGCTGCAGATGATGAGAAAAGCATAATTATTTCATGGATATTACATCACGGATTTATACTGAATTCAAAGCTGTATCCATTAAATGACGACACATTACATTACATACACACTTACTCAATGATTTTGTCCCATTGGCAGATTTTTTATTCATCTTGCTTGGACCCAAAGGCAAAGCCAATTCGTACCATGAGATTGGCCGAGCCATCGCCACGCTGATGTCAGATGAGGTGAGACTGCCACTAACACACATCAGCTGTAAGCCTGTCAAGATACTTACATCATCGGCTTAAGCCCAGAGAGAGGCGTGTTGTAGCTGTAACCTATATCTGACTTACAGTTAGTTGTTGCTTGCCAGTTTTGTTAACAAAGGTCCTTGCCATCAAGAAATGGATTGGCGGTAAATAGGAACATAGAAAAAAAGGAATGAATGACTGCTAATAGCCATGTCTGAAACGTGTAATATTTATTCAAGTTACATTTTGTTCAATTTTGTGACAGAGCTTATGGTATTTTGGTATTCAATTGGATAATGTTCTCAGCTTGATCCATTTATCCATCCTGTGTATGATGACAATCAATTTCCCAAAAAACATGAGACGTGTACTTCCTGTTAGACCATCATTTGAAAAGTATGTTTTATTAATCAGGTATACACTAATTGTCCTGTGAGGAAAAAGTGTTTATTGTTAGTATTCATTGTATCAACATTGTAGTATTTCGACCAGATACAATTTAAAAATATGTTGCTTGCAAATTCAGTCTAATGTGAGCAGTAGTAGTTTTCCAAATGTATTCAGACACAAATAGTACATTTCTAGTCTGAAACTACACATTTGTTGGTAAAATACATCCAAAGGGTTTTGGGATGATCAACATTGCTCCATTGGTGCTCTAGGACAGTGCTTCTCAAACTGTTTTCAGTAATGTACCCCCTTTGAAACATTTTCTCAGCCGAGTACCCCCTGACCGGCCCCGAACATTTTTGATAGAAAAAAGCCTATATAAATAATTAAAATATAGTGATGTTCCTCAGTGTGTGATTTATTAACTCCTTCATGCATGAATTTCAACAAACTAAGGATTTTTTCATCTTTGTGCATGAAAAAAAAAGAGCATATACATAACGATTTTTCCAAGGAGTTTTTCAATTGAAGTAAATATGTTAACAAAACCAATGAACAAATGATATATTATGAAAAACTATAAAATACATACACAAATTTGACATGTTTATATGAGGACCCCCTTGGTGGTTCTCGAAATATTTTATATAAAATTGTGTTTCCATTTCACTTATTGTACTAAGATTATGTTGTAATCATGCATGGTATTTTTTTTAATTAACCTTTTTTTTTTTTATCTCACGTACCCCCTGCAGTACCCCAACGTACCCCTAGGGTCCGCGTACCCCCATTTGAGAATCACTGTTCTATACCACAATCATTTGTTTGTTCTTTGTAGGATATTGCATTTGGCAGATTTCATTTACACTTAAATGCCTCGTCCCTCTCTGTTTGTGTTAAGGTATTTCATGACATTGCGTATAAGGCCAAGGACAGAGAAGACCTGCTGGCCGGTATCGATGAGTTTCCTGGACGAGGTGATCGTGCTTCCTCCTGGAGAGTGGGATCCAGCCATCAGGATAGAGCCTCCCAAATCCCTGCCCTCCTCTGACAAAAGGTCAAACACTTTTAATGTGAAGCTATCATAATCCTACTTACTGATGATTCTTTAGCTCTGCTGAACATACACACAATGGTTTGTTTAACACTGCACAATGTTGGCGTTTAAATTAAAGAGCATGCTGTCTATTAGTTAGAGACACTTCCAGGTAGCAGACCAATAGAGCCTCACATGTTTTATGTCTTTACACTCTATAGATTTCTACCAGCACAGAAGGCCGTGGGGAAAAAATAATTTCACTTTCTTAGAGTATTTTTCTAGTAACTTGAGGATTGTAAAAAGTGACTTTCTAGTTGTTATCTTATCTAATACTACACTGATTCTACAGGCTGCGTAGTTGTCCGCTGGTCATTTCATTAAACCTGTTTCCACATAGAGGAATCTTAAGACTTACTTTGTACTTGAAAAACATTCACCTCTGTTATACAGTATGTCCAGTGAGGTGTTAAGCTTTAGAAGCAGCTGGAATCAAAGTGTAAAAAGTGTCTGCAACAGGTTCCAACAATGGAAAATCACATATTTGAATCACCTGAAAACTAAGAAAATGCTAGCACGTACAAGATCTATCTTGCATTAAATATGTAAAGAGACACACATCTGTCGATCGTATGCTGTGTATGCACTGACTACATAACGTTATAGAACAGCAAAGGTTGCAAAATCACTGAAGTGCGTCAAGCTGTACAGCAAAGTGTTTAAATAAATAAAATATGAAAGAGCAGCTGTGTGTTTTATTTAAAACTCGCAGTTTAACTCAGTAAACTACAAACATACTGAATGTGAGCACTGATCAATCAGGACTATTTAATCACGCACATCGTCTGATTTAAAACTCAAGAAAAGAGGCCATGAGAAAATGCTGACAGACATTTTCACAGCAAAAAGCAACTGTTACCTTCAGTAGTGTTAAAAAAAAAGACATGCTCCAGATAACTTTAAGGTGAAGTGCCCTGCAAAACTGAACAAAACTGTTGGTGTTTTTCTGTATTTCAGGGAAAAACATGTATGCAGGAGGAGACTCTCATATGAACGGAGACATGCCTCATGATGAGGTCACGGAGGAGGGGGACACACTACAGGGGACGAGCTGAAGAAGACCGGAAAGTATGAAATTGTGGAGAGAAAACAAATATTTTTAAATATCTGTTTTTATACAAGAATCCGGGTTCCTGTGGATCCTTAACTAAATAACCAAATTGCCTTTAAACCATTGAAAGGTCTTAGAAAAGTTACTTGCCTTAAGCAGTTGGAGCAATGAAAAATGGACAGCTTGTGTATATTCATTCATCTTTCATTCTGTTTACTGCATTCCAAGGCATTTCAAACAGTACAACATGAACATTCAACAGCTAAAATACATTTTAAAACAGTACACAATAATCCTACTGTTATCCAGAGAAAAATGTCAAAAATGCCAAAGCACTGTTGCATAAGTCATGTTTTTTGAAAAAGATTCTTGTATTGCAGTTCTCAGCATACTTTAGGTACATATCCAACATATGTTTCTCTAGCTCATTGGTCCATAATAGTTGAAAAAAACACACCCTTTATTTCACTGTTTTCAGGTTTGTGGGGGTCTCCTACTTGACATCAAGAGAAAAGTGCCCTTCTTTGTCAGTGACTTCACCGATGCAATTCACATCCAGTCCTTGTCGGCCATTTTGTTTATCTACCTGGGAACTGTGACGAACGCCATCACTTTCGGGGGTCTGCTGGGGGACTGCTACAGAAAACATGCAGGTCAGATTGTGATTTTTTGGGCCGTTTTTCCAGAGCGTTTATGTTCTGAATGATTCCCTTACGGTTCCCCTTCATGTGTGCAGGGTGTGTTGGAGAGTTTTCTGGGCACAGCGATCACCGGGGGGATTTTCTGTCTGTTTGCCGGCCAGCCTCTCACCATCCTCAGCAGCACAGGTCCTGTTCTGGTGTTTGAACGGCTGCTCTTCAATTTCAGCAGGTACTTTCTCCATCTCCTGAGTTTTCCAGAGGCCCAGTAGCTAATCATGGATGGTTCAGATCTTGACAAGGAATTTATAATCATTGTAAACTTGGGTTGGTTTAGTTATGTATTTATGAAGCTCCAATCCGGCCTATGAATGTTATTGTTAGTCATGAAGAGTATCAGGGCGACTGTGTAAATATTTGGGTGTAAAGAATGTTGAATGTGCAGAGTTTGACATTTCGCATTTCATCAGCTGAAGCTGGAGAGTCTTTTAAAATACAATTTTAAGGGGTGAGCGTTCAAGCATGATTTGTAGGCACAACAAATAGGTTTGATGCTAATTACTGTTACAATATTCAATTTGCAAAAGTGTGATAAGGAAACCTAAAGCATCTAGTGCACATACACTGTGAAAGGACTTTACATTGAAAAAAGAAACACCCGTTGTTCTTTTATTCTCAGATTATAGATTTTAATGAAGAAGAGGGTGGCATTTCGAAAATTTCACCAGGATAATTGTACCTTTTTTCGTTAAAGGAACATCATATACAAATTATAATATTAAAGTAGAGACATTTTTGCAATTTTTATTTGGAAATAGTTAAAAAAGGAATCAGGTCGTATAACTTCATGACTTTAATATGCAGACGCAGTAAGCATGTGAGACATTACATTACATATTATTTAGCTGACGGTTTTATCCGAAGCGACTTACATAAGTGCAAAAACCATAAAGAATCAAACTCCGAACAACAAGGGAAAGTGCAGATATATTCACTTCAAGCATGATCATACCATAGTAAGTGCTGGGTGAATTAGTTACGCGGATTTTGGGTCCTTAGCTTGAAAAAAAAAAAGGAGGAGGCGGAGCTAATGCCTGATCAGAATTCTACCGGAGATAAAGTAAAATTCTGCTGTGATAAAACGCCATCCTGTTCTAAACCACATCAGGATTATTTCTGAAACAGTATGGAGCTCAAATGCTTTTTCTCTTGCGGGTTTATTTCCTGCTTTTTAAACACATGTGCTCTCCAGTACAGGTTAGCTCTGAGTGTTAGCGAGGCTTGCTAATGCAAACAACGACGAGATTACGTCCAAAACACGTCAGGCATTGTTTTCTGATAGCAACTTTCTGTGGGTCCGCCGCCGATTTGATGTCATATCGGCAGCAAATCTGTATCCGCCTCGTTGTACCCGGCCCCCCCACCCCGTTTTTAAAAAGATTTGGGTACGGAGGAAAAGAGAGAGGGTTTTATTTTCTGATGCTGCGTGAGTTCCCCGACGCACCGGGGACACATGTTTATGTATAAAAGACATCAAAAAGTGCATTTTGCATGATAGGTCCCCTTTAAACTCAACAAGTGCTTTGTGTTGTTTTTTCAGCAATAATTTAATTGCCAATGTACAATCGAAAATAGATGCGTTTTTAGAGACAAGACAGATTTAAGTAAATAAGGGATATGATATTTATACTTTATTCATGAAATGTATGGAGTTTTTCCAACTTTAACAACTATATTCTCAAGATGTTCTATTCTGTGTCCCTCTGTTCGTATAAAACCTATATTATATATTTCTCTATTTATATTCTTTGATATTTGGTGTGTTATTTTTTCCATTCAGAGATAATGAATTTGACTACCTGGAGTTCCGCCTGTGGATCGGCCTGTGGTCGGCGTTCTACTGCCTGGTGCTCGTGGCCACTGACGCCAGCTACCTGGTTCAGTACTTCACCCGCTTCACTGAGGAGGGCTTCTCCTGCCTCATCAGCTTCATCTTCATCTACGATGCCTTCAAGAAGATGCTCAAACTAACTCACCACTACCCCATCAACTCAGATTTCAAGATGGACTACGTGACACAATATGAATGCCTCTGTATGGCCCCCGGCTTTCTTAGGTGAGATGTTGTTTAACTTTGGGGTGTTTTTACTCATGGCTGCTTATTAGACATTCATATGGATTAACCCATTAGCTGTTCCAGGTTTTGAGATCAGTTTGCCAACCAACAGAGCGAAACATTGAGGCAGCAGTGAAATCTTTTTTACCCTAGTCAAATAAATCCAAATCAGTTTAGGTTTACACTTTATTTAGAGTATTATACCTCTTAAGCTGGCTGTCAGACAGCCCTTTTGCAACAGGGAACTAAATAAGCTATATTTGCTGTCTTCAAAGCCACCAGAAAACGTTGATTAAAAACTGTACATTTATCTTGAACAATACAGAAGATGTTCCTGTGAACTGATGCCTTTTTTCAATGTGTTGATGATACGTCACAGTCCTCTTTATTATATGTTCTAACTGAGGTTGGGAGATGAAGAGGGGGGCAGCCCTTCTGGTAATCCTCTGCGGCTGTTGTCCTCTATATAAACGGTCTATGGTTTGTAACAAAGATGGGACATAGATGGAAATGTTGGTTGGTAGATATTTGTCGATGAGATAACCTATTTGGGGCATATTTAGGCTTTGTTAGAAATATTGCCAGCAGAACTATAATGATGTCATTGAGCTTAAAACCAGTGAGCTACAGCACTCCCCACCCCCCACAGAGTCAAATCTCTTAACAATTGGATTGTCTGGCAATTTGCTACAGACTTTGGTGTTACAGGTATTTGCTAACATGCTGAATGTGAGCATGTAACCAAGGTAACTAAGCTTTTGTTGGGATAATACAATTCTGGATTTATGCTCATTGAACATGCGTGCTACATGATTCTGATTTCCAATGTAGCAAGCAATAATATGCTTCCATGAATATTTAGAAAAAGAGACCAGAAACCACAGTAACTATACTAGTATAGAGTAGGAATTATAAATAATACTAAACAAATAAACCAAATAGCTTTTTCCTATCTATAGAAACAAAGGTTATCAACTTTTTTCCGTTTGTTGTCATTTTCATTGCACCAACAATATTTTGAACGGCCTCAGCATTTGATATAAATGTTCTCAACTTGTCATTATAAGGACAGTGCAGAAAAACATTCTCAAGTTTTCATAATTGACATAATTTACAAAACATGTTGTTTTCCATAATCAACCAACTTCAAAGGGCCAGAGGAAGGATTCCCTGTGTCAACTGTGAAACTTAAGACCGTTGAATTCTTCATGAGTTTGCTAAAACACAATATCCAGAATTATAATTGTGCTTGATATATTCGTCATTTTTCTTCTTACAAAATATCTTGAACCACATTTCTTCAAATTGACCAAGTACTTTCTTCTAACAGTGTTCATGCTGCAGGATAAACTACTTTTATACATTTATTGTAATTCAGCTGCCTCAATAACGACATGAAGCTCCATTGCCAAAAGAGGTTCTGGGTTCTAGGTTCTGACATATGAAGCAAATTATTCCACAGTCTGATCATTTACCTTTTTCGCCTTATTGATCTAGGAATCACACCCATATACTCCCTGAACAGCCGACATAGGAGCAAACTTTTGATAGACTAAAAGACAGCGTGCTGCTGTTAAATCGCCGTTTCAGACAACTTGTCTTTTTCTCTTCGGATATTTGTTATGCATGCAAAATTCAAACTGTTGTTGTGTTTCCTCAGTGAACAGTACAGATGTGGTTGGAGATGCTTCAAGCTGGTACTGGAACAACACTGAACTGGTAAGAGATCCTGTTTTGACCCATGTTTATTTTATTATTATTTTCTTTCTGCGACCGAAAAAAGAAAGAACAACTAATAGAAAAGTTAAAAAGACTATTGCAATATACATATATATTGTCTCAGTTTGATATATAATATGTCCTCAGTGGTGGAAGAAGTACCCAGATGTTTTACATATGTAAAAGTAGCAGCCTGACAGTGTTGTACAAATACTCTGTTACAAATGTTTTTCATTTAAAAACGTACTAAGTAAGTAATAGTACTCACAGTACGTCATCTATGTACGGTAGTTTACTGTGGCTATTTCATGGATTTAAGTTATGCAACACTTTGGTTTGAATGCCGCTGGAATTCTTCGACAATCTTAAAAAAGACTCTTTGAAATTGGGTCACAAATTACAAACCAACCCCGTTTGGTAAGTGAAAGATAAGAGTTGAAGAAGAAAGTTGTGCTTGTCAGTTCGACAATATTCTGATAAGCACATTGTTTCTTATTTGAGGTTATTGTGACACTGATTTTCTTATCTCTGTTACTCCAAAATTCTCAAAGTCTGAGTTATCAGTCCGCTCTTCTCAGCCTCAGTGTCTTCGCCTGCTTTGGTGGGACGCACAGTTTCATGACTGCTTTTACCTTATAATGAAGATGCTCTTTGTTTCTTTTGTGCAGCCAATGAACGCCACATGGTCGTCCCTGTCAAAGACGGACTGCTTGAAGTACAATGGAGAGCTGGTGGGGAATGCCTGCGACTATGTCCCCGACATCTCCCTCATGTCCTGCATCCTGTTCTTAGGCACTTACACCTGCTCCATGTGTTCTGAAGAAGTTCAAGACCAGCCAGTTCTTCCCCACCACTGTGAGTCATTGTCACACACATTGGCCCCATTCCAACTGACCCCTACACTCTCTGACACGTGGCAGAATGTACTCCCTCTATAGTCCATACTCAAAGCTAATGAGGCTCTCCTCCTTAAGGTGTAGGGCTGACTTCATGGAAATAGGAAGAACAGGAAGTACTGTAGCCATAGTTTTTGTATCATCCAAAATTAAAAACAAACAAACACTTAACCTCTTGAGGCCCGATTGCCCCCGCCAGCAAACACAACAATATTCACGAAACTGTGTCTCAGGGCTTCTTAACATTTAACAACCTATTAATGTGTCAAACCCACTTAACGGGAAGAAACTCAGCTAAACTCACGATATGAACCATTTTTACCCTAAACAAAACACCAAGTCTAGCACCAAGCCTCTGAATTAGCACTTAGAGAAAGAATGTTAACGCACTTAGCACATAACTCTACGTGGGTAGCGAATATTGTATACTTCATGCTATCTGCACAAGATATCATATGAAAGCTGAGATTCCACAGATTCCATTGGTATAAGTATCATCACTGTGCGTCCAAAAACTCACGGCAGCGAAGGCAAGCAAAGACAAACACACAACTTCACTTTACGGGGCAGAAACTGCAATACGTCTTACCTTTGCTGTTTTCTGATCAAAGTTGTGTTCAATGTCATTAAAACGCATTTATTAAACGCTGCTAAAGGTTAATCCAATGTCTCTGTGTCACTTTGAAATGATTACTGATAATCCATCATAACATTTATGGCAATAAACTTGTTTTTCATATAGAGTGTAATGGAGCTTCCGGTTTTGGGCATGCTGGCATGCGCATCATTCTAACTCACCAATGGTAATGTTTAGATGGATTTAGGAACTTCCCCTCGATTCTAATGGTTTAAAAAAGTGGTGTCAATCACCAAAATCGACCAATGGGTTCCAGAGATACAGGCAAATGCACCCAAATGACCCAGAGGTGGGTTTTTTTTCTCCAAATCTCTCTAAAAAGGTCAAATGTCACTTGTTTTTGCATCAATCTTGATACAGGGTACTTATTATATGTTATAGTTTGGATTCCTGAAGCTTTTAGTCTACTATCCCATCATTCAAGGGTGGTTTTCACTATAAGTAATGGACGGACACTATAATTTAATTTTCTTTACTATGTTCAATCTGAATTTTACTTTAAAATAAAAACATCTATATTGATTCTGACATTTCTACATGCACTCACAGGTGTATCATTCCTTTGAGAAAAAATATTATTAATTTACCCCTTTTAGAAGGGAAGATATAGTCATTTTGTTCTTGGCATGTCATTTTCGAGACCTGAAAAACAGGCTCCGTGCTGAACAGGTTAATAATAATAATACAATCTTTTTTATAACTGATCTGGGTCCCTGTAAATATAGAAAGTTGTATAATTCAATGATCACGTCAACCTTTTTTCTAGACTAGATAAGTAAAATATATAAATACATACAATGTGACCTTTCTGTTCTCAACACACCTCTAGGACAATATCAAATGTAGCTATATTATTTCAGTTTAATATTACAAATTTGCACGGAAGTATTTGTACACAGTGTCTTTCATGACTACATAACAGCGTTGCATGTGGTCTTGTAGGACAGCTGGTTAAGTAGCTGGCGATCGCAGTTGGAGGGTTTAATAACTTTAATAACTTAAACCAACAATACTTGTTGGTTTAAAATGTCACTGATTGTGGTGAACCCTTTACCTGACGGTGTAATGAAGTGGGAAGGGAGAGGTTGTGAGGGGCCCGATCTGAATTAAATCTTGTGTCCAAAATGTTTGATCAGCGGGTCACATACAGTACTTAACTGTTTTCTATTGGTCTTTCAATGCACCCAGGTTAGGAAACTCATCAGTGACTTTGCCATCGTTCTGGCTATCTTGAATCTTCTGTGGAGTGGGATATGCTCGTAGAGTGGAAACTCCTAAACTTATTGTGCCAACTGAATTCAAGGTGAGTTCCTTCCTATCTCATGCTGCTTGCTGAGTTCAAGTGCAATTCTCTATTGGTGCATTACTTCATAAAACATAATAGAACCAGTAGATTCTGGTCTGGTTGTCGCAATCTTAACATTCAACCTATGTTGTTCATTATATAATATAATTATAATAATAATTATAATGAAATAAAGTATTTTGTCAAGTAAGTTTGACTGAAATGACACAATTATTTGCATTGGCCTAGATTAAATTGACTCAATTTTCCAATATATTCAGGCGTCCTAAAAAAGGACTATTGAAAAAGTTAAGAGAGAAGAGCTTGAAACATTAATAAATTACAACTTTGTTTCCCTAGCATAGTGACATAATAAAAAATACTGGCTGTTTTTAGAAAGCAGCAAGCATTAGCTGAAGTTTAGGGTTGGTTTGATCCACAGCTCCTCCTGTTTGGTCTACATGTCAAAATTACCTAGATACAGTGAACCCGGAAAGTGCTTTCCTGAATTTAAAGCGCCATATGCATGAAATGTAAATAAATCGAGCGGTTTTTAAAGATTATCTGAAGGAAGGTAAAGTGATCAATAGTTTATGCACTAACAATAAAGGAGATGAGCAACATTGTTTATTGAAAGTAAACATTATTTCGTCCTCCCCAACAGCCTACAAGTCCCAAACGAGGCTGGTTTGGTGCCCCTGTTCGGAGGAAACCCCTGGTGGGTTGACCTGGCGTCGGCTCTCCCTGCCCTGCTGGTCACCATACTGGTGTTCATGGACCAACAGATTACTGCTGTGATCGTCAACAGGAAGGAGCACATGCTGAAGGTACAGAAGAAACATTACTGATGAAAAGTGTGTTCAAAAGCCACAAAATGTGTTTACCCAGCAGTTAAAAGTCTTCCAAATGGTAAATACGGTTTAAATACTCGTACACAAGGTCGATATAGATGTAGTTTTTGTTGAGTTTTTGCTCTACCAAGGAAGATTTGCTATACAACATTTCCCAGAACCTGCCCAAAAACGTAGTGCAGCATAACTTGAATATTGAATTGCTGTTTCATTATGGGTGAAATGCTTGAGTCTGCATTTTGGGTTTTAAAATGAGAAATCCCACAAGAACAACAAAAAAAGTTATCTTTCCAGTAAAAGAGGTCCTGACCTGATTTATACGAGGATTTTCATGCGTTTCGCACAACATCCTGCAGCTTGTACAGGACACTGGCTACCTGCACACTGTAGTTACATATTGTTGTCATTCTTCTCGTGGGGGTGAGAGATGTTTCATGGCAGTGACTGAACACAGTTTGGTTCAGAAAGCAACCACTTGAAATGTTCGCAGGGTCATTGCTAGAGCTGAGCAAGACTGCCTTTGATTTCTGCTGTGTTTACTGGTGTCTTCAAAGATAACTTGGGAAGCGCTATGAGAGAAAGAGCCGACACGCTACTGTATTAATCAGCATATGTTGTTATATAAACATGGAAGAGTTTTTTGCTGGTTTTTACATTTGCCTGTGCTTTCAGCTGTGCTCTACATACAGTATATGCCTGAGCATGCACAGCCTCTGACCTTGTGTTTGTTGTCTGTACTAGAAAGGGGCAGGCTACCATCTGGATCTGTTCTTGGTGGCCATTCTGCTTATTGTGTGCTCCTTCATGGGTCTGCCGTGGTACGTGGCCGCCACGGTCATCTCCATCGCTCACATCGACTCTCTGAAGATGGAGACGGAAACATCGGCTCCTGGAGAGCAGCCCAAGTTCCTGGGTGTGAGGTAAGACTGCTACAAGATGCTCGTGTTATTCACATAAAATACACGTAACAGAAAATCGTATTCATCGACTGGAACTTAATTTTAAAGGATACAATGTAAAACATTTAAGTAAGATTCATAGTAAATGAAGATAATACAAAGTCCTTACTGCATTAAAACAGTTTCATAATGCTTTGTAACATTGTTCATAACACATTAAAAAGCATTTTATAATGACTTATATGGCAAAGTATCAGAATATCTCATAAATGCTGGTCACTAAATAACTTTCTTTAGCAAGGATCATATTGTATTATAATTCCCATAGAGTAACTTAAAATAAGAGTCAGAATTTCTTTATTTGTCCGCTGGTTATAAATGTGTCTTAGTATGTCCATCAATAACAACACACTGTTATGAATCAAGATAAGATAAATAGTTTCACGTACTGTGTGTACTTGCATTGTTTCTTTAAATAAAGTAAACAGTCACTACCTAAAGTGACCTATAACCAACTTGTAATGTATTATATCTACCTTATGTTATTTCATGACTTCAAAGCATCCAATAACCATTTAGACTCTAAATGGTTATTGGATGTATGATTGGATTGGATGTTGATATTATGTGGTTTTAGGATACTCTACATTTTTATAGAGACTGAACCTTAGTCATTGAAAAATGTTTTATAATGTGCTACAGTATATTGTAATGCCTATAACTCTGATTATGCAGTGCTTGTAGGCAGAATATTACTAATTAAGTACATGTTTAATGCATTATAGACAGAAGCACAAGAGATGCTGTGTGCACCTGCCATCACAGTTTGGTCGATATGACTATTAAATCAAATAAAAAAACGGACAAACAAATCTGATTGACACTATTGTAACTTAACGTCACAGCAGGCATAACAACAGCCGGTGTTTCTGTGAGTGTTTTCCCGGGAAACAAAAATACACAAACACATACACACGTATACAACACACACACTCGCGAGCTTCCCCCAAACCAGTAATCCAAACAAAAATATCTTCCCTCCGTACTACTTTGATCATTTGCTCCGCTAATAATCAATCAGATCGATGGATTCCAGAGAAGAGGAAACTTTGAAGGCCGTTTTCTCAAAATGATGACCGGTTGACAGTCATTATATAATGTGACATATTTTGCTTAATATTTGGAGTAACAACAACATCCTGATATCATTAGAAAGCTAGGAATCTCCTCTTTCCAAACAGTGTATACAACTCAAAATGTGTCTTCAGGGTCATGCGACTGATTTCGATAGAGCAGGTCTTGGGGACCTAGGATTATATTTATCAATATTTTGGGCATATTGCAAGCACCAAATGTATAAAAGGAACAAAGTTGCAGGAAGATTGTTGAAAACTATTTTGCACATTTAAATATTTAACTGTGTTCGTTGGCAGAAATGTATGTGGTGTTTACTAAACGATGTTCATTACAATAAGCCAAAATATGAACTGCTCCTTCAATGAAACGAAGCGGTTGCACTGCCTGCACCAACTTTCAATCAAAAGTATTCAGTAGTTTTGTGATGTCTTTCTAACTAACACACAAACACCAACCATGGACTAAAAACAAGAAATATCTCGTAATAAACTCAACTGTAACTATTTTATTTAGGTTGTGGAATTAAGCTTAAAATATATTTACACAGCAGATATCTAAATTGTTTAATACTATCTCCCCGGTAAAAGCACAGAGGGAAGTGAATTAAAAACATATGACAGAAACTGTACTTTAAAGAAATATGTTACAAAAAAAAAAACGATATTTTCTTTTTATCCCTTTAGAGTTTTGCAAGGTAAAATTCTCTTACTCTATGTACGCCAGGTAACTTGCAATAAGAAGGTTAAAAACACAATGTTTTGGAACATGTGACTTCATGTTCATTATGAGACAGTTAAGACACTTTTCTTGGTGTTTCTGTTGGGAGACGTCCCCCGGAGCGTCCTGAGGTGTCAGCTGTAAGCTGAAATAACAAAGTCTTGAAACATCTACAACAACTTTGAACTTCAACAAATGTTGGGGGTGTTTTTGTGTTGGCTTAACTGTATGAGATTCAGGAAATGATTGATATCCTCAAGTAATCAACACTAATTATTATTATTCAGGCTTTTATGGGATCTTGTCACTGTATGGAAAAAGAGTGAAAAAAATAAGAAAATTATCCCAAAAATGTAAAATAAATTAACACGATGACTGTATTCTTCTCCCTTTTGTGCAGAGAGCAGAGGGGGTCACTGGGTGTGGCTGTGTTCATCCTGACAGGACTGGTCTGTATTTATGTCTCCTATCTTAAAGGTAACTCAATCATTTTGTCTACATTTGTAAGCTTGAAATGTATTCGTATCAAACCTTTAGAAATCAGTGCAGCAGATGTTGGATATGACCACCAAAATGAGGAATAGTTGCTAGAGTCCCTGAAAGACCATTTTCTGTGCGCTTACTGCCCTGTCAAGTTGGCATTTCTCAATCAATGAAGCCCTTCAAAATGCCAATAACTGCAACATTAACACGGACTAAAAACGGTTTGATCTGAAAGGTGGTTGTGCAACATAAAAGAGCATTCATATTTGTATAATCGACAGGACACAAAAATAAAAAGGATGTGTCAAAAAGGCAATTTATTTTTAAGATCCCCTTTGTCTCTCCGTCTGAAAAATAAAGATAAATAAGCTTTATTTCTGCATCTGTAAGTCCACAATATTCACACACTGAACTCTGATCTACATTTTTGATGAGGTCATCATAATACTTCAAGATGAATAGAGATTAACAGTTTAAAATGTAAACTAATGCGTTGTTGTGTTTACCATTGGGGCTCTACTGTATACAGGAAACAGAAAACCTCTCGGGGACAATTGTTTGTATTAATATATTATGTGTTATAATAGTTATTAAGGTTGACAAAACTAGCCCTTTTATCCCACTTATTCTTATTTTTGCATTCTTTTTATATAAGGTGATATTATGGATGATAGTTGTGTATTATATCTTCTATAAACAATATTATTAATTACTGCTTCTATTACTCAGTGAAAGCTACACATTTGTAGTTACCAAAGCTTAATGTGTATTAATTGTTTCTCTCTGTTTGACCTAGTTCATCCCCATGCCAGTGCTGTATGGAGTCTTCCTATACATGGGAGTTGCCTCTCTCAATGGCGTGCAGGTAAATGTTGCATAATAACGTAATAAACACAATACAGACACATGTCATGTAAGAGTTTCTTCTGAGGATCCAAGTAACACTGCATGCCAGACACTAGCTGTTTCTCGGATACATTCCTACGTGCAGTGCATTGTGTCACGTGTACCTCCGTCTGTCTGCAGTTCATGGATCGTCTGAAGCTGCTCCTGATGCCAGCAAAGCATCAGCCGGACCTGGTGTACCTGCGACACGTTCCCCTCAGGAAGGTCCACCTCTTCACCTTCATCCAGATCCTCTGCTTGGCTCTGCTCTGGGTCCTCAAGTCCACCGTGGCCGCCATAGTTTTCCCTATCATGGTGAGAGACAATTGTTTTAACGTTCAGCCAAAATAATAAAAGTGGCTACTTGCAATATTTAAAGGTTGCCCTTTCCTGTAGTGTGTCTTATAGGTTTTTCTGCATGTAAATCAGGGATGGGCAAATGGCGGCCCGGGGGCTGCGTACATGATTTTGTTCGGCAGCCAAATACCGCAAAATAATCTGTGACGCGTTTGTGTGTATTGTGTTTGTTTCCCGGGGAAACACTCACAAGAAACACCGGCTGTTGTTATGCCTGCTGTGAATTTAAGTTACCGCTTGTAATTATGCCTTTACAAGCTTAAAGGTTGTATTTATCATCTGAATTTGGCGAAACAAGTTTAATATTCTAAAAACCAAGACTTTGTTTATTTGAAATCAGATGAAAACAAACTGTCACGGACCTTGCCGTGTTATCTATGATTACTATACGCTTTTCATTCATAATTTCAGCGGGAGGGAGGGGGAGCTGCGCTGAGGAACAGCAGAGTACGGGTTGACAGGTGTCTGTGTTGACATTCCCCTTATTGTGCGTCAGCAGAGACAGGCTACAAGTGTCTTAGCTAGGTTCAAGTTAGACAACTACTGTCTGGGTTAGTGTTCATGACTTCATGCTTATGTCATCTTAATGGTTCATCTCAATGCACACACATTTTCCGTGCTTTCCAATAGTTTAAAAATAGTTTTATTCCACTGTTAAATAACCTGTTCAATACAAACATGCCACTCGTAAAAATTAAATAACATTTCTGTGAACTGATATTTGTTTAGTGAGCTTATTAGAGGATGTTCCCTGAAAGATTGTAAAATGTCAATGAAGATGTTAATAATTACATACAATACATGCAATTTGTGTGTGTGTGTGTTCCAAGTTAATCTGCGGCCCTCTGGTGGCCAGTACATACATTATGTGGCCCCCACCACCATCCAAGTTGCCCGTCCCTGATGTAAATGTCTGCAAACGCTAAAATCCCTAAGGTCCCTCCAGAGGGAGTTTCTCTCCCACACACTCCCCCCTGCCTGAAACGCCTCCATTGGACTCCTTTGTTTACTTTTGCGAGATAGTGACATCACTATGTGAAACTCGGGCTTCTATTCGCTAGCACTCCATCGCATCGTACGTGATAGGCTAAGGTGAAGGACATCTCTAAGCATTTGACCAATCACAACAGAGCTAGCCAGCTAACTAATCAGAGCAGACTGGGCTCTGGTTTCAGACAGAGGGTGAAAAGAGGAGCTGCAGCACAGGCAGTATGAGAATAATAAAGCGCTTTGGAAACATGTCACAATGCAAGGAACACAATACAGATAACATCAGTGTGACTGAGAAGCCAGTTGAGGTTGAATACATGATTTGCTGGGGAAAAGAAGCCTATGATCGATCTAAATTGTAAGGGCAACTGATCAAAATGTGGCATTGGAATAATTTAATTTGTAGTTGTTGTAAATCAGACACAACCAACTCAGGTGAAAACTCAAAACGAAAATACAAGTAAGTGCAAATAGCTATTTGAGACGTAATTTATAATCACCACAAAAATAATTATCTTGTCTTTTTAAAGGATAAGTATAAAAAAGTCTTGCACAATCAATGAGTGAATTATCACCCCCGCTGAATCACTCACAAATGATAAACTCAATTTACGTGTTAGAGGATTGTTTATATGGTGATAAAACACAGCAACTGTTATGGTGTTACATAATTACAGTTCAGGGTCACTAATGCAGCTCTCAAGACCATTCACTGAGTGGTTGTACTTGGTGTTGTATTTATTCTATTAAGATGTTTCTTCTTTTATCATTTGCCTTATTTAAGTATACGTTTATTAAACAGATTAAACATTTCTTGACTGAAACCTATATAATGATATGGTTAGAAATACAACTAACCTGCTTGATTTTGGCTTTTAAATCATTAATCATTGAAAATAGTATTTTTATAGTTTTGTATCAGCTCACATTTAAACTGATTATTCATTTGAACAAATGACTTCCAAAGTACCTCTGAGTCAACTCTTATCCACCTGTTCTGCTTTAGATCCTCGCTCTGGTGGCCGTCAGGAAAGGGATGGACTACATGTTCTCCCAGCATGAACTGGGCTTCCTGGACGACGTCATCCCGGAGAAGGACAAGAAGAAGAAGGAGGACGAGAAGACGAAAAAGAAAAAACGAAGCAGCATAGACAGCGACGCTGAAGACGTAAGGGTTTTGAGCTGAAATATTATACACTTTAATGCGCAAGCTAGTATCTTTGCAGAAACAAGCTTATGATTCATTTTGTATATGTAATGTGTTGTACATGACAGCCCATTTCCAAGTCCAAATTACCCTGCTCCAAACTGCCAGGTTTCTCTTTATTTAGCAGCATGTACCATCGACTATCCATCCACTGGTAATACAATCAATCATTTTATTTTACAGAGTTTCTTTCCCAATTTATGTCAATGGAAAGGGTCTTTTTGGGCCCAGTGACATCAGACTGACTCTGATGTTAAAATACCATTACGAACACGCTTCCGATCAGGTTCATTTATCCTCAGATCTGTCAATCAGATTTGTTTGTCCGTTTTTTCATTTTATTTAATAGTCATATCGACCAAACTGTGATGGCAGGTGCACACAGCATCTCTTGTGCTTCTGTCTATAATGCATTAAACATGTACTTAATGAGTAATATTCTGCCTACAAGCACTGCATAATCAGAGTTATAGGCATTACAATATAGCACATTATAAAACATTTTTCAATGACTCCAGATCTGGTTTATCTTTTTGAAAATTCACTCATGGACATTGCATTTTGTGAGTTTTTCGTTTTCAAAGATCCAGTTCAATAAGATGAAGCCAGTTTAAAGAATGTAAAGAAAATATGTAAAAATGTATTTTTGTAAGATCAACTCAGTATCTCTACTCTAACATGATTCAAATTGTTATTAGATATAAAGATCGATGTTCCTAAATGAAGCTCCATCCCCTTACATCCTTACAAACAGACAGAAAGGTTAATCACATCACGGTGATATGATTTAACCCACCAGAAAATGTTTCCATGTTGCATTGTCTCTCTCAGTTTCGAGAAGCATCAAAGTATTGAATGGAGCCAGAGATCCTAAGCGATTTTTAGCAATATTTCCTTAAAGAAAAGGTTATCAGGTTTTGTGTGTAGGTCCCGTCTCAGGATGTGTGTTTCCTCTTTCCAACAGTCTGACTATCCTCCTTACAATGAGAAAGTTCCCAGCATTAAAATCCCCATGGACATGATGGAGGAGGAGCCTTTCTTAAGTGATAAGGCCTCCGACAGTGAGTAGACCCGAACTACCTGCAGCAGGGGGGGGGGGGGGGGGGGGGGGGATACTTCTTCCTCTAAAGCACTGACTGACTCCTGCTCTGCCTCTGTCTCTGGTGGCTTCCAGAGTTTATGTTTCCTCTTCGTCTTTCACTTACTGCATGATATTAATTATTTCATTCTCTTTCTTCTTTCAACTGCAGTTTTGCTTTTGTTCAACATGCAATGAAATTAAATAACTTTCTCCTGCTTTTAAACTTTTCTTCTTGAATTGTGATGCTATGTTTATATTTGTCTTTTAACTTTTACATTCTTGCTTGACCTAACCTTTTTTTCCCTTCTGCTTAACAACATTTGGTTTTAGACTTAGTTTTAGTCATCACAGTTATTTAAGCTATGTATAAAAGAGCCTGTACGACTGACAGTTAGCACACCTACATCTATTCTTGACTTATTATGTAACTTTTTGGTTAATTAACAGTTAATGTTTGAACAAATCACCATTTTCTACATTAAATCAACTCACTAGCTTTGTTTGTACTTTATCACTGCAAACTATAGTAAAAACATTAGTATTATCTGGTATTTTCAACAACCAAAAAGTAGTACAAAATGTCTTTTTTAAAGAAGGATTTATAGGAATATACACCATAAACTGACAATGAACCCCTAAAACTGAAATTGTTAACTGCACCTTAAAACACTTGATAATAAGCTTTTGAACTTGGTTTGATTTCGTTTTTTTGTCTTTTCTACTAAATGTAAGAAGTACTGTCAAAAATGTAACATGGACGATCTAATCTATTCTGAACACAAGTTGTCAATCCAATCCAAACTCTTGAAGCAGCTGATAACACCTGCTGCTTCCTTCTCTCTGCTTCAAAGTGTTTTTCATTGTAATCATCTCTCTGTAATCGATTAACTGATTTGTCTTATTGATATACAACTTTTTAAAACTTGTGTCATAGCCACATGCAAGCTAAATGCTATGTTTTTGCTTTCATCTGCAGGAGAGAAGTCCCCATCATCCCTTGAACGACACACATCGTGCTGAGCAGCTTCGCTACTACCAGGCCAACTACCTGTCCAGGTGAGATATGAGAGAGTGCAGCTCAACAGGCCGCATTCAATTATGAAGAGGGACAAAGCTAAATATAGGCAGCTCTGATTTACCTTTTCAATTCATTCTTTGATGACTGCGGCATCAAAGTCGCAAAAGGTCAGAAGGCAAGCTAACTAGCTAACATATAATGATAGCCTGATCTTTAAAGGGCGGCTTTTAACTTGTAGTATTATGATTACTGTATATGGTGAAAATGGTTTAGCTGCTAAATGCTCCACAAAAGGTCTTTAATTAATTCAGTTGACTTCCCGAAAGGAACTGCCAACTGGGGGCTACAATATTTATATTTTACTCATTGTAGAAAGCTGAAATTGTGTTTAATTAGAAATTATATTGTAATCTTGCTTAACATACATTCAGATTAGAAGTATGTTACCTGCTGAATAACAGAAATGAATTGCTTCAAATTAGTACAATGTAAATATATGTATTCAGTAATTGTTTACTTTTTTCTGCAATTATTTTTGAAAAAAACTTAAAGTGGACCTATCATGCTATATTTGAATAATATAGTGTAGGACCATACCTATATAAGGCATATTTATACTTTTTTTTTTTCAAAATACCAAACAGATCATGCATTTTAGCCATGCCTCATTTTGCTCAATTTGACATTTTTTTTTCCTGACGTCAGGACAGTGTTCAAATCTGGATCAGTTTTTATCAGATCCGTTGCAGCCCCTTTTTTTAGAGATTTGGGTATGGAGGAAAATAGAGAGGGTTGTGTTTTCTGACACTTGGTGAGTTCCCTGGAACACCGGGGACACATATTCATGTATAAAAGATGTACAAAAGTGCATTTTGCATGATAGGTCCCCTTTAAACTGTTAGTTGGTTCAATGATATATGCCTCTATTTGACTCCAACATCTTCTAACTCATCATCACATTTTATTTTCCATTCTGACAAAAGCGACAAGGCACATTTAGAGAATAGAGGGAAATATTCTATTGAGAAATCAATGATAGATTCCAGTCTTTGTATCAACACTGACCTCGTCACTACATGAATGTAAGTGTATGTTGCGTGATAAACACACACTGTTCTCACTGATATGAGCTTAAAAGGAGACAATCAGTTTTCAAGAGGCAAAACAAGCCTTGGTTTTTGGGCAATATTTAAGAGCAATTCATTAATGAGATGTTCAAGAAGAGATTAGATTTCCCCATCATGACGACCAGGGTTCACTGTTATGCTCCGGAATTACACAATCTGCTCTACGGTTGTTGCAACAGGATTAGTGTTTTGGGACAATGTGTGAAAAAGCAGCTGTGAACGCAGCACATCTGTGATGATGACCAACAACTGTACAGGATTTGTTTTAGTATTTGGTTTGGTCACATGGCTGGTGATAAGCAACAGATTTGATGACAATATTGGCTTTAGTCTGAAGAATAAATGTCCTGTCCTGACATGAATTGCCGATAAAACTTTTAATTAAAATAAAAACGTTTTAAAAATATTTTTAAAACATTCTATTTATTTGATGGTCATTGGTACTTTTTACATACATAACTATAAGTAAAGTGTGATAAATACAATTAAATGTTGTCCAGGTCCTTGTATGAACACATACTTGGCCAATGTAAATGATTCTGAGTTTGATCTCATGTTATACTTTCAGATATCTGGCTACATATATGTGTCAGTGATGTGTAACGGGGCATGAATCATGTTGTGATGACATTAGGGTCTAATCCTGTCAAGACTGAAGCCAAATTGCTTTTAGCTCATATGACATCAGAAATCAGCAATCCACAATCTCTTGTTTTATTCCTGCCTTAAGACACCAAAAGAGAACTCTAATGCAGACAGTCAATTATGCATTAATAGTATTTGCATTACTAATGATAATTTCACTTTTGTATTACTACCCAAAGTGCGAATAACACTAAAACGTATGTATGCTGACACTAATGATGAAACTTTTGTTCCAACTGTTGTAGTTTTGAAAAATGTTTGTAATGTTACGTTAAGTTGATTTCTGTTTAGTTCAGTTAGTTTTTTTTTATCTATAAAAGCTCATTTCTATTGCAAAATATAACAACAATTGACCCATCCAAGTTGAACAATCCTTTCAAAAGAACATCCTGACATTGTGGACTTATTGTGTGTCTTATTCACTGTTTTGACGATCCTTGACGAGAAGATTGTTGCTACAGCTAGTTAGCCTAGCTTAAAACTAAAATTAGAAGCGGCCCTTAACAGCAAGCCTGCCTCTCTCCTAAGCTTAAAAACCCCCACTTATTAACAACTCTAGTCTAATAAAAGTCGAACATGTGTATCTTTGCACTCGAGGCAGATTATACTTTCCTACAAAGCGAGGCTAGCTGTTTTTTCGCTCTTTATGCTAAGCTAACTAGCGGCTGGCTCCAAGGATAGTGTATTTTTCAAAATATGAACTATTCCTTTAATTATAACATTACACTACTATCCCATCATGTATCCAAACAATACATATTTTTGTGTTTCAGCCCTGAGATGAGTCCCCTGAAGACTGTGCCTCGGATTACCATCGACATGGACCCAGACGATGATAATTCATTTTACTGGAAGAGCAGAGGATCGGAAACGTCTCTGTAGAGCACCGAACCACCGCCAGGCGACTCTCTCTCTCATTTCCCTTTTTAAAAAATATAGATTTTAACTCCAAAATCCTCTCCACCATTTTCTGACTTTATTCAAAGTATGTGGGAAAGAAAACAAAGGGAAAACACTGAGGAAAATAAAACCACCATATGTAAAACCATTTCTTATCTGACACTTTTGCTCACCTCTGCACAGTAGGCTGGTAGCTCTTCCCTCTTCCTCTATGAAATGCTGCAGCTCTTTGACCTTGCATGAAATCCCTCCCTGCTCCTTTTTATAAAAATATATATAAATATCATCGGTCTGAATTTTTTTATAAATCAATTTACTCTAATTACGATTTCCTGTAGCAGGAAAATTATGTTTTTTTGTATAGCTCTACCTCTTGTTTTTAGATTAAATGCTTATTATAAACAAATGCAACATGTTGATTTTTGACGTGGCATGGGCTTTTGTTATTTTCTCTTTCCTCTTGAGAGTTGAAATTATTCAAGAGGTTCACTGTATTATAGCGGACGGAAATGTGTTTGAATAGAATATTTGAAGTTAATTAACAGTTAATTAACAATGCATATATGATGCAGATGAGGTAAATATTGTATTATCACTTTTTGTTGTGGTTTTAATTCCTCCACCTTCTCTTTCTAATTTTCTCAACCTTTCTGAAACGTTTTCACTTCAAAACTTTTGTTACTCTTAAATCAAATCCTTTCTTTATCTTTTTTTTAAATGATTATTTTGTGTGTATGTTGGTAACTTTTTCTTATGTCCTTTTTTCCCTCTTTTGTGGGTAGAAAAGAGTTGAGCGATACGTTATCATCAGAATTTCCTCAGCCAAACTTAAATAATACCTAGGAACGCATTTCATATAATCACTTTTGCTGCACAAACTACTTTACCTAAGTGGCTTATAAGAGATCGATTCCGACTGAAAATATTATCGTGACGAGGAATTATGAGAAGGGAATCAGATCCATGTGAACTTCATGCAGCGGGTTTATTTCTTCTTGTCTCAGCTGCTGTCGGAACTATCTGATGTGAAAATGGTATCACTTGTTTCTTATGTTTTATATATATTTAAAATTTGGATTTTCTTCAAGTCTTTCCTTATAATAGTACTACTCAGAGGCAGTACTGTGTGTACACCAGGGAGTTATTGGTCGCTGTCTTCAATCTTTTCTGTACTTTGCAAAGTTTGCTTATTCATACGGGAACATCTGTGTGCAAAATGTCTCCTTTCGTTCATGTCCAGATTTTGCCTTGAGTAGTTAAAACAAATCTAGAAAGACTTTATGCCACACAGGAAGTTAGCATAAAAGGCTAACTTCCTTTACATTCAAACTAGCTAAAAGTCTATTTTATTTGAAAAATAAAGTTTCACGACACATTGAATTTGAGACATTTTGAATGGATAAATGTTGGCTAGCATATCCTACACATACTGAAGTTAAATGATTAGCTTTAAGATTCATTTTGTTCAGGATTGTACATGTTTTGTCCTTGACATCTTTCTTTTTGTTACGGTGTGGTAGCATTAGGAAGATATTGTTTCTCGTCCAGTATGGAGAGGAATGATTACAGCGAACAATAACTCAATATGCTCGTACATAGACTGCTTAAAATCCAAACATCTCCTCAAACAAGGATTTATTATCAATCTGCTGAAATGAGGCAGAACATGTTGTACAAACTGTGTTGCTACAGAGTGCCCAGCGCGTCCACACTGTCACAGCCAGAGATAAAACGTTGACTTTTATTGACCAGTATTACCAACTAAAAAACTGTTTTTCATTACATTATCTCCACTTTATCTCTAAAGGGCACACTGACGCACTTTCTCACAAGTAGGATTTAAATTCTTAATTCTTCTCTGTCTTCATCACCACTATAGAAATAAATTCAAACTGAGTGATTCATGAGCCGCCTTCCTCCTATGTAAATCATGTACATATAAAGGCACTTCGGCTCAAACCAAAATGCAACAAGTTTCTTCGTACCATCGCGGTTTTTGTCTTGCAACTCGTTTTTGTTTCAGTTCATCAACCTAAATACCAGCATCAGCTACACTCCACATCAGTGTTTGTATTTGTCAGCAGCAGCGAGGGAGCACAGCGTGTGGAGAACTGTTAGTTTAAAGTGTGTTGTTCTGTCAGCATGTCGGACAAAAGTCGACAACATCAAATGAAGTATCTTGTTAATGATGTTAATTTTAGCCTACGGAATAAATAATGATACGATGTTTCTTTTGATTAACGTTTTGTGACTTTTTAGAAACAGGTGAAATGGTTTCTTTTAGAATTTATATTTTTCAAAATGAAATGTATATTGGAAATAAACTGAATTATCAAACAGTGATGGTGTGCTGCTTTTCAGTCTGGTGGAAGAAACTACAATTGATATATTACTGTGTTATGATACATTATTATATAGCTGAGCAATGTCAGCATGGCTCTCATGTGGAATATGAACGGTAGCATAACGATTAATTTATTAATACATTAAAAGTATATCAAACAACTATTCTGTTATTTCTTTATCAATTCATGATTGATTTGAGAGTCTTAAATGTGAAGATTTACTTATTTTCTCAGTTTTGAATCAATGTATTTTATTTTTACATATTTCTCCAACACATAACATTTCAACCACCACACATTTAAGCTTTATCAAATTGTTGCATTTTTCAATAATTTATAAAATGTAACACCAAACAGTGGATCTAAAATAATGATAATAACAAATAATCGACAGAACAATCATGATGTAAATCATTAGTTGCACTACATTTACTTACACCAAATAGATATTTTTGGAATGAGAAAAAACTGCTTATCTTCTTTGGTCTTCATATACCTTTCTGCATATCAAAGTATAGTACATGCCATGACAAGTAGAATATTATTCTGCCCTTCTTGCCAGAGTTTTAGAAGGATAGCAGGTCCAGTGGCTCTCTCTAGTGTCTGCGCAGCTGCATCACAGCCTGCAGGACACACACACACACACACACACACACACACACACACACACACACACACACACACACACACACACACACACACACACACACACACACACACACACACACACACACACACACACACACACAAGTTCAGGTTCATCAGCAGGGTTGCTCTTTCACACATATTTAGGTGTGAAAGAGTTTGAGGTTTGAGTATACTTTAAACATTGACATATAAACTACATTTCTCTGGGGCTATTTTGTACCCTATGTCCAGGCTATACAAGTATAACTAGAAAATGCGTGCGAATGCTGTAAGCTGCTTGTTGCTGAATTTAGCTGAAAATGTAGAAAAAGCTGAATATTGTATTAGTTGAATGGTCTCTGTAGCTGCTTTTAGCTACAAAAACCAAGTAAGTGTGTTGCTGAACTTAGTGTAGAAATGCAGAAAAGTTAAATGATTTGAATTAAAATTGTTAAAGCTGAAATGCATTGCACTGACTGTTAGAAAACTTAAAAGTGGCATGTTAAGGTCCTTACACACCAAGCCGATTTTCGTCGTCGATAGATGTCGGGCCGTCGATGCTATCTGGGGTGGCAGCTGGTGTGGCAAGGCTATTTTTAGGGTGGCATCCCATGCCACCCCGGTAGATCCGCCCCTGCGCCCCGGACACACACGCGACGCTGCCGTGTGGACGTACCGTGACGGTACGTCCACAACGTCGCGTGCTTCAATGGAGACGCTTCCCATTCACTTTGAATGGGGTGACGTCCCGCTTTGCCAAACTGCATTGTGGTTCCGTCGCGTTGCTTTGCCTCCGTTGCTCGCTTCGAAAGTTGAGAACAGTTCAACTTTTCAAGCGTCGACGGAAGCGCCAGCCAATCAAATCATATGCCAGTACAAGCTCTAGCCCAGGGGTACTCAAATACAAATCTTAAAGGTCCAAACATTTTTTTTCAATAAGACAAAGGTCAGTTTATTACGGTCATTCAAACTTTTAAACAATTGCAACAAGATTCTTAACACGAGGTTGTAACAAAAATAATCTGTATGCAGCAGTTTTCAATGTTATTGTGTCTGTGCTTGATCCCTCAGAGTCACAGTGTAAGAGCTGCACAGTTATGAATAAAGGCAGCTGCACCCTCTTTTATTCAGCATTCCCATTATTGCTTTATAAATGTCTTGCCCCCTTCTGTGTCCACTGAGGTTCGTCAGGCCCAACCTTCAACAAACTCCCCCTTTCCCTCATCATAAAAACTCACAAACACCAGCAACTGAGCATTGTGAGTGGACTCATCCACAGCTAAGGAAATGCACTGTGCATTTTGTATTCCATCACAAAGCTGATTAATCAAATCACCAGCCAGTATTTATGTTCTTCTGGTTGCTGTGGAATCTGAGTGGGGGATTTGCTTGATTTGACCTGTTATTTCCTCTTTTTGTTTGCCTTCAAACATGGTCTCCATCACTTCAGTCATGCATTCTTTTATACTTCAGTTATTATCCAGTGGAATGCCCTTACCTACTGGCCTAGTTAAATCAAAGTGGTTACTTTTTTTGGCTGGGCAGTGTAGTTTTACACACCATCTTATTTGACTTTCTCAGGACTTAAAACTGTTTTTTGGGGGAAGACCCCCACAAAGAAAAAAAAATATTTACACACGTAAGGTCATCATCTTAACAGTTCTGTATGCTCATCCGTGAGCAGAGCATCAAGTTGACATGTCTATTACAGCTGAATGCGGCGATTACCATTTTGTTCAGCAAAACGCCTCACAACATTTGTAAGATCCAAAGCTTTAGTGCGTTTTGATTCAATGCTGAGTACAGCCAAACTTGACAGTCTCTTCTCTGTCATTGTAGACCGCAAATACCTCATTCCTTCAGTACTTGGGTCCGAATGCTTCTAGTTTTGCGCCGTACCGTTCAAATGAAATCACCGCCAATCATATTTCCACGCTCGCGCCAGGGCCGGGGGAGGGGTTACAAAGTGCGTCTTGTGCTGCATTCACTTGCACTCGGACATTAGAGACTTTCTCTCATAAATGTCCGAGGAGCCACAACTTTTCTTTCAAAACAAAGCTGCCAACTGGTGTGGCAGCTGGGGTGGCAAGGCCTATTTTTTAGGGTGGCAGTTGCCACCCCGGTAGGTGAAACTAGGCTACTAGCTACAGTACTGATGCAACTAGATGAGCTGTGAACTCTCGCTCTGACTCACTCATTTTTCCCACCCACATTCCGCGAAGACCCGCCCTACTGTGCCTCTGATTCGCAGACTGTTGGTGGGGGGAAAAAAACGCTGACGGGATGCTGAATGTGATTGGACCAATGCGTTGACAGACACACACAGACAGTGGAACAGTCGTACATGCAGAGCGCTGTTTGCAGTGGACATAGCGGAGAATTTTGACTCGTTGCGTTGTGGCGATGTCTCACAGATAACACAGATAATACAGATAATACATATGAAAAGTATCATTTGCTCAGAGTGCAGAGACAGTTGTGGTTCGGTCCGGATCCGGACCGGAGTCCGGACTTTGAGGATGCCTGCTCTAGCCAATCAAACCGCGTGTCCGGGGCGGGAGATTAATGTGATTGGTTGTTGGTCGCACGCCAGACACGCCCACCGGCAAGCTTCAACGCGACGCTGCTGAATCTGCGGAATTGGATCCGCGCAGCCGTGGCTCAGAGAAACTTCAGAAACTGTGTGTTTTGTGATATTTGGCAGAATAAATACAAAAGAAATACAAAATAGAATTATTTTTTTTCATTATTATTAACAATAATAATGAAGCTGATGATGTCACTTCCTGCCCACTCCGAAGGGGTCAGAGGTCGCCCCCCTGCCCTCTCATGAGAGAGGTGAGAGACAACCGCGTTGGTGTGAAAGGGGCATCAGACAACATTTATAAAATCGAAAACGGCTTAAAAATGTACTGAAACAAAAAAAATAAGTCATAAACTGCAAAAGATATAGAAAATTTGAATACAAGTTTAATAGCTGAACATCTTGTGACCGTTTTAAAGTTGGCATTAAGTCTGTAGCTGAAAATATGCTGAAGGAGTAGCATTTTAGTGTAAACATGATGTAGTTAAAAGAGGATTTGAAGTGTCGTCCCATAGACACCCATTATAAAATCTAAAACGGCCTGAAAATTTACCAAAACTTAAACGTTGATAATTCAAAAACTGTAAAAGATATCAAAAATCTGAACACAATTTTAGTAGGTGAATTTATTGTGACCATTTTAAAGTTGGAATGAAGTCGCTGTAGCTGAAAGTATGTGGAAGGAGTAGCATTTTCCACAAGGTGTAGGTAAAAGAGGATTTGAAGGGTTCTCCCATGTTAAAAAAAGAGTTTAAAAGCTGAATATTTTAAAAAGATGAAAAAGTTTTGAAAAAATGTAAAGTTTGAATGGTTTCTGTAGCTGAAAGTATAGGCTGAATATATTCTACGGCAAAAAATGGGGTGACATAAGAAGAAGAAGAAGAAGAAGAAGAAGAAGAAGAAGAAGATGAAGCGGAAGAATAAAGAAACAGAAGTACAATAGTGGAATGCTGAACAGCATTCCACTAAATATAAAACTGCTTTAATCAATACACATTTGATTTGAATTTATTCAATTCACTTGATTTGAATTGATATGTTCTCAATGTTTAAATTATTTAAAGACCATCTCTATTGCTATAATACTATATATACATAAATACATATATATATATATATATATATATATATATATATATATATATATATATATATATATATATATATATATAAACATACTCCATGCAATACATATGAAACATACACTGTATATAGATATGTACATATAAAAAAATGTAACTACTCACTGTTCCCACAAGAGGACTCAGAAGAGCTGTGGAGGAGAAAAACTGTGTGTGTGTGTGTGTGTGTGTGTGTGTGTGTGTGTGTGTGTGTGTGTGTGTGTGTGTGTGTGTGTGCATCTCTGTGTGTGTTATTGTACATACATCTTAGTAAGGACCAGTCTGACATTTGGACTTTGAGAAATTAGGTCAGTCTCTCTCGTCCTCACTTCTCCCAGATGGTTTGTGGACTTGGTTTAAAAGGTTAGGTTGGATCAGCTCCAGGTAAGAACTAAGGTCAGACAGGGGCTGTGAAATATCAAGGCCTTTTCCTGGCCTTTCATGGTTTAAGGGGTTTGGGCCTGGAGGGTCACCGGTTCGCAGGTTCAAGTGCTGACTGGCTTGTTAGAGAGCTGCCAATTCTGCCAATGTGCCCTTAAGCAAGGCACTAACCCACACACACTGCTGCAGGGGCGATGTACTATGGCTGACCCTGTAAATGCACATGAGGGGCAACCAGGAGAGATATACAACGAGATACGTTTCAACTGCTTTGTGTAAAAATGATTTGGGTTGTTGGACAAATAAAGCCTCTTTCTTTGTAGTCATGAGGATGTTGACTCAGACTGTAATCGTTTCCTCTGTGGCTCACAGAAACAAAAAGCCTGAGTTATGAAGTGGGGCTGAGGGGCTCCAAAGATGTTTACTAGACAGAGAAGGTCTAAGGTG